TATTTTAATGTAACCACTATGAATTTTTAAAAGTATTTTTGTAATTAAAGAAAAACTAACATATTTTTAATTTCTAAAATAAAATTCACATTTTTAACTGTGGGCCAAGATAACTAAAAATCACTTTTTAATATTTATTCCAAGCTCAAGTAAACAAAATTAAAACTACTTACATGTCTTTTTTTCCTCTTCTGCCATTTGTTGGATCTGCTCTTGAATGCAAGATGGAATGTTTTGATCTGTAGTTAGTGATTTTTGTTGCAATAAATCAATAAAAAATGTGTTTGACCAGAAAATATTTTTTTTTGTTTTTCTTCATTTCAATATGCAATTTTTTATTAATATTCTTTGTAGCAGTAGCATTCATAGTACTTAGCTTTCAACAATGATACACCAAAATGACATATACATTTTAATGACGTAAGGCTATTTTTTTTAATGGATGGCACTGCCTATATGAAGAAATACACCAAAGTAAAAGGCTGACCCCCTTTTAACCTTGAGACTTTCAGAGAAAAAAAGATCTACATTTAATTTAACTTGGATTTCACCCAAAATTTCTCATTTTTGTTAAATAATAGATTGAATCAAGATTCATCCAGGTCACCTTCAGATTACTCTATCACTTTGCAGAGTTTTTCAAATAAGCTTATGATTCAAAGATCTACTTCCATGATCTATTTTGACATTAAGCTGTTGTAGTATTTAGGTCTTATCCTTTCACTTTCATTAAAAATTAAGATAAGTTATTTCCTACACGCTGCTGTTTAACATACTTTAACTCAAATTCACTAAATACCAGGTTATCTTATTATTTATTTAATTGGAATCCACCTTATTCTGGTAGATTAAAAGCAGCCTTTAAACAAAGTTGTGAACCTATTTGAGCGCTGTAGTATTCACAAATAAGAGATATAATTAAATCAATGTAATTCTCAAGCTAAATTAACCTTTAAATTGTATCAAAACACATACACACTACTCAATGTATGTTTCAATTTAACGCTGTGGTTCTTTTACTAGACTAATATTTCTTTTTCTCAACCATTTCAAAAGGTAACAGTTACTATCCCTGGTGTATGGGATAAGAAACCCAAGTCTCCAGAGAGACTCTAAATCAGCAGTTTTCAACCTTCCTAATGCAGCGACGCTTCAATACAGTCCCTAATGTTGTGGTGATCCCCAACCATAAATTATTTTTGTTGCTACTTCATAAATATGTGTCTGATGGTCTTAGGCGACCCCTGTGTAAGGGTCGTTCGACCGCCAAAGGGGTCGCAACCCACAGGTTGAGAACTGCTGCTCTAAATAGACATTATTTGTATTTTAAACAATATTGTTACTGATATTAGAATGAAATTTTTTGTTTCAAATATATTTTTTTCATTGATTTATATAATTTTATATATTTAGATACACCTTATCTGTGTATTTATTTCTTTAAAAGTTTGATTTTTTAAAAAAATTACCCAAAATAATTGTCATTAAAAAATTCAGAATTAAAGTAGGTTACTTTTTGAAGTTATTAATCTCTTATATGTATTTTGTTTCTGGTTTGGCTGCTTCCTTATAGCAAGGACCCCCTACTCAACATGTTTTTATAATAGTAATGAATGATAAAAAAACTGTCAAGCAGTGAGCGCCATTCATGACTGTTGAACCCAGGAAAGATGGTTGAATTTTTTCGGAGGCAACTATTATGTTAATCAATAAAAAACAATGGATATGGTGTAGGACTGTCTGTAGGCCTATTGTCTAAAGGCTGGCAGGTATTGTGTAGGAATGTGTGTAGCCCTATTGTTTAAAAGGAGGCAGGTTGGGTGTAGGACTGTCTGTTGGACTATAGTTTAAAGGCCGCCAGGTAGGGTTTGGGACTGCCTATTGGCCTATTGTGAAAAGGCCCGCATTTATTATAGAAAATGAGTAGTTACCTTTTTTTTTAACACTTTGACCCACCGGGTATTCTCTCAAAATACCCAGACCCCCCCCCCCCCCTTTTTTTGTCAAAAACTCTATTGTGAAAAGGCCCGCATTTATTATAAAAAATGAGTAGTTACCTTTTTTTTTAACCCTTTGACCCACCGGGTATTCTCCCAAAATACCCAGACCCCCCCCCCCCTCTTTATTTGTCAAAAACCTCCAGGAATATGTTGTATTAACTGAATTTAAATCTTGATGAATTCCAGGCTTCTCCATGCCAGTATTTTATATCTAAGAGGCAATCCATACAGCCGTAAAAAGAAGCACCAACAATATTGTTGCATTAATAACATTTTAAAATGAATTATGAAAAACTTGATACTTACAAAATTCTTTAAGATAAATTTATTGTTAAATGATTGAATAATTCAATTAAATACCATAAAATCAACACAAAGTCCTCAATTTTTCCTTCAAATAACAAATTTAAAAAAAAAAGATACAAATAATTACAAATGCAAAAGTTTTATTTCACTCACATATATATTTATATATATATTTATATATATTGGTATCTAAAGGGAAATAAATATTATTGTCTGAATAAAACAAGGTGAAATAGCATTGCCAACCCATCTATAAATATGTAGGCTATAAAATAAAATTCCATCTCTAATATTGAAGAAATTTATAGTTTCAAACTTCAAAAAAAAGGCTGAGAAATCATTTAAAATCTTTAGCAAGTTTCCTTCTATGTGCTATCCCGTATTTTTATCTCTTTAATAGGATAATTTGAGGGTAACTAATATAAGTAATAAGCATGTTAAAAAGGTATAACAATGAGTATTACAACTGTATCACTACATTTTAGCTGATTTTCATAAAATTAATTTGGAAAAAAATTTCAACTAAAAACATTGCACCTAAATTAAATAGTGTCGATGAGATTCAAAATTGCTAGAAAAATAGTGACTTGATGAACCAAGTGCATAACTTTCATAAAGCTAGTCCCATACAGTACCCGGTACTTAATATCAGAGTTTTAGTTTTGAATGCATGTCAACACTGCCATAGCCATGTACAAATCATAAGATCAAGCTTTTAATGTTCAGCTAGATAATCACTTGAGACATAATGGATCTAATACTGATGTGCCTATCTAATTAGAAGACCTTTTTCTGATACTGTCAAACTTTGTTGCTAAAAGGCCAATAAATAATCTCTAAGAGTCTAGGTTACCAGAACAAGGACCAGGAGTCAGAATACTGTACTCAAGATATAATCAAATCACAAATTTGATCTATTTTTAAAACAGCTTTATGCAGTTTGAACAGTTTGACTATCTTTACATGGATATCATTGCGACATTGTGAAAGATAAACTACTAAATTTTAAGTACCAACATTTTCAAACCAAATTAAATTAAATGCAAACGATTGTGCATTAATTTAAATTAAATTAATCTCAACACTTTTAAAAGAATTAAATTTTTAAGATAAAAGAGATTCAACTAATTTTGATACATTATAAAATTCATTAGTGATCTTATTTCTAACAAATATAAATGTACTGCTGTATGTTAATAAAATTTGGTGCATTTAAACAATAAAATTCATAATTTGGAATCTTAAAAGATTACCTTAATTTACTTTGAAAATAACTGCCCAAATCTCAGTCTTTGCTGACAAGTGCAACAATGTCAAATACCAGTGACATAATGATGTTGAAAAATATAGTTTTGGAATTATTTTAAGTAAGTAACTTGAGCAATACTATTCAAAACTGACTTTAACAAAACAGTTTGATGTTAATATAGAAAAAAAAAAAACCATGTTAAAGAGTACATTAGTTGTTCTAAGCACAGAGGACAGACATGTCACTTCCTCAAAAAAAAAAAAGTCATTATTAAGATGTATCAAATATACATTTAGTTTAAATCCAGAATGCAAAAGCATGAGCAATGTATTGTTATGTACAACCTAGGAGAGCAATGATGTTCAATTACAATGTACATTGATCTGGATAAAAACATAGCAACAAATACAGATACAATATTATTATTGTTGGAATGTATTGGACATTGCAAAGGCAGAATGATCTGCAGCAATTGGAAAAATAGATGGTAGATTGAATTAAGACAGGTGGGGCAATTATTTATAGTTTTTCAAACCCGATGAGAGATATCGGTTGGAGTCTCTGAATATCTTGACGTAACCAAAAAAATCAATGGAGGTTGTTTTTATAGCCATTAAAAAGTATACCTTTCAATTTTGATTTATTTAAAAAAAAAAAAGATGTTATGCAGTTAAAATGAAAAGTAGACTTTCAATGTTTACTTACATAATCTTGCAAGAATCTATTTTATAAATCAGTTTTAGTCCTTATCATTCAATGTGTTGTTTAATGCTTTTAAGATACATTTAAAAAAAATCTTTATAATGTCAATCATCTATTGAGCTAACAGATGTTATTAATTTCAAGAGCCTCTCAAATAATTTGATTACAGGTCATTTTATGTGTTCAAAATTAATTGAAAGAGATGTTAGATATTGTGGCTCTAAGTAAATTGAAACCACCATGATAAGGGACGATCACATTAAATACTACAGAGATAAAACTCCTTAGCAAATATTAGACATCTTTTTTCAGTATTAAATAGAGTGGTATGATGTGTTTCACGTTTACTCTGCGATTTAAGTTGGTCATATACATCAAAGCCAATTCAGTTTGGTTGTTGGTTTAAAACTGTACAATATGCCAAACCAATCCTTGTCATAAACGTTTTGAAATAATGTAATGACAAATTATAGTTTCATTAAAAAAAAAGTATGAAAACAAAATCATTCACTGTCAAATCCTATACACCGTTTAAGGACAGTAATAACAACAGAGGAGAGAAATTATCTCATTGAAATAAATATTACAATTAAAACCTCTCTATTAAAAGGTAACATTTAAAAAAATTGTTTTTAAAATCCACAATTGTAGCAACATTTTTCATGAGATACTTCTCCTAAACATAAGCCCATTAAATATTTTTTTATTTAAAAAAAAAAGAAAAGGGGGGGGGGGGGCGTTTTTTTTAGTTTAAACTACTCAAATTTTGCAAGGTTTTATTTTTTTATATCTATTAAAATATTTCTTAAAACATGTCCAAATGTTATTACTGATTATAAGCCAAAATTAAATAATCATATTTTACAAGTGATATGATATTGTATAAATTTACAATTCATTACTGCATGAAAAGAATTAACAGGGACGTAATGAATAGTAGCAGATCTTTGAGAGTATAAATTTCATTGTAAATATTGACTTACAACAACCCAAACCAATGCGTACTTTTATCACACAGCCTGAATAAGCCAATAAGTTAAAGTCAACACAGGTGATGACATATGGCACAGGTAAAGCCAGAGAGGAGAGTGAAGACTCAAACAAAAGTGAAAGCATTCAAAGTAATGCATGCACATTGAGGCCAGAAAATGCTTTCAATAATATTTTCTTATGAGATTCTTTATTTGTTGAAAAGTTGTGCTTTTTTTTTTTTTTTTAAAGATATATGGCAAATTTATAGAATGTGTGTAAACATGGTAGAAATTACTGACTCTACTTTAGAAAACTTGTAATACAACCAACTGACAAATACAGGAAAGGGTTCAGACAATGCCAGTCATAGCTGCAGATACATATTGAACGAATGCAAGTCTCAAACAATCACTTTCCTGTAAAACACTGCCATGTTATTAAAAATAGAAATCTGCAAATGAAATTTGCTATAAAAAGTGAAAGACTGTATAAGATTGATAGCAGCACGCCATGATTATTATTTGGGCTATTCATCCTTATGCTTCTAAAAACAAAGAAACAAAGATGAGATGGCTGAATTACGAGATGATGTTGGAGAAATTCAGGCATGCCACTGACATGTGTGCTGGCATGCAGACACGGCATGCACTTATCATATGCGATTTATCTTCTTAATATCAGTTCAGTTAAAAAAATTTTGATTAGTTGCTACAAACATGAGGAGTGGACATTTTGTATGAAAATGTTTGTTCATTATAAAAATTAATTAAAACAGAGAAAAAAAAAATTGAGATATGTATTTGTGAGTAAAATTTTCACTTGTTTATAGAAAAGAGATTCAATACTTTAGTACTTTACTAATGTTACAACATGGTCCGAGTTTTAAAGTAGCCTCCCACAAATAAAGGAAATACTTCAAACATTTTCTTGTTCCATATACCTGAAATACTAAGCCAGTTGTTTTTCTTTATATAGCTTGGGAAAAAAACTGAAATATTTCAGTCTCTCTATTTAACCAAAAAATTTAAAAAAAAAAAATTGAAAAATAAACATAAGTAAAAAAATAATAAAAGAATTGAATAAAAAAAATATATTTAAGATATTTTTATACAAAATTTCAAACCTCTCTGGTAAGAGACAAAAATCTCTCACTACCAAACTCCTAACCACTCAACACCTCATATGCTACCTTTCTGGAACAATCTGATTGTAACATCACAGTGATGAAAACAAGCTCGCGGTTCCATATGCTATCATTTGAATGAATTCACAATGTAATGTTAACAAAATAAAACTAGCATGTGAAAGAAAAATATAAATATAAACATGTGCATTTTGATTTTAAACTTATAAAATAAAATATATTTAAAAATTTGAAGATTAAAATTTTAGGTAACAGAAAACAAATATATTTGCAACTGTGAACAATGAATAGTTTTTAAAATAACATACAGCACACAAATGATATCTTAGATTATTAAAATTATATAAAAGGGGTTTGAGAAAAATGATTAACTCTCATGGCAAATGTCTATTTAGAAAAAGAGTTATCTGTATCACAATAGCATAGAATGAAGCTTCCCACAATTCCCTTTGGCTAACAACAGAAACATCGATGATAACAGAGTATAAAGTTGACACTGCTTAGGGGAATAAAACAAACCAACTTTAATTGAAAAAATGTTCCTGGCATTCAAAACCATTAATAAATCTGTTAAAATAAGATCAGTGTAGCTTTTAAATCAACATATACAGACTCATCCAATTTGGTATTTTTGAATGGAATTATCTGTCGTATCATTTTATCTACTCAATGAAAATCTAAAAAAAATTATTTTTTTTAAATTGCATAGTGATACATTTAAAATATTTTCAAAATACATTACAATAGAGTAGTGTGATAAAAAAAAATGTGAAAAAATATTTGCCTTTGTTTTATTTTTAAAATTCAGAACGTTGTAGATACTTATCAATGAACTGTAAGGAAAAAGATTAACGTTAAAATTTAAATGAAACCACGTGTAGTGAAGTTTCTTTTTTTCCCCAAAGCAGCAATAAATCGGTGATACGCCAAACAATCATTAAGTTTCACTCTCAACCTTGTACTTCGTGCCAGCATCTGAGTTGTTCTTCCAGAATTTGATATTGGCCTTGATCTGACTTGGGCGGTGCTGGAAACAAACAGATGAATACAGAGATTTGCATCAAGCCATCCGTTATTTTTATAAGCTTTGCCTCCATCTAACTGTAGGATATCAAACTGTTTAATCTTACATAAGACACATTAAATTGCACTTAGAGATAGAGTTCGTTGGAGAAAAAAATATTAATGATAAAGTAATGTTCCCAACTTTTTTTTGCCCCACACCCCACATGAGCACATTAAATGTTTAATGACCTCCTTGTGGGGCATACACACCCCATATTGAAAAAAATTGTTCGAAATATTGAAATTGAAACTAACCTCCATTAACCACATGCCTGACTTGGAAGTGGGATGGGTGTAAGCATAATAGAGCCATCCTCCGACAGATCCAAGCAGTCCACAGACAATCAGAACTACAACTACCACCACAGCCACAGGGAACTCACTCTTTTTGTTGCACTTCCCATTCTGAAAAGAAATTTCATCCCCCAAAAAATTATTTGCAGCCAATGATGGTCATAGGTAGATTGTACGTATGAACATTTTGAATATCACTAGGTTGCTTTTAACTTCATGAAGGTCTGTACATGTTCACATTTATTTGAACAATCCCAATACTCCGTTTTTTAAATGAGTACTTCAAATAATACTAATATACAAGTCACTGATAATAAATAAAGCATTGAAAAATGTGAAATTCATATCTAAATGGTATGTACTACACAGAGATCAGCATTATTAATTTTTTTTATCATACACTATTCTTTTCCTCTCTTTTCAAAAAAAAAAAAAATGATATATAAAGCAAATGTTAACATTCAGTTAGTAAGTTTGAAATCTGTTAGTTAAATCTTAACCCACCAAGTCAGAAAAGCAAGCAAATAGGATGATTAAATGGGAATAATAGAAGTATGGCAACTCGCAGGCAGTTGCTTCTAATAAAGAAGGTGATGTAGGTAATACATACATAATTAAATACATTAGTAATTTTTTTTACAAGTCTTGAGGTAGATTAAAAAAAAAAAAAAGGTTACTAATATGAAACAAGCTAAGTGTCTTTAATTTTATGACAAACATTCATTATGGTAAACATGTTAAAATATAAACAAGTCATTTATTAAATAAAAAAATTAGTAATTTTTTTTACAAGTCTTGAGGTAGATTAAAAAAAAAAAAAAGGTTACTAATATGAAACAAGCTAAGTGTCTTTAATTTTATGACAAACATTCATTATGGTAAACATGTTAAAATATAAGCAAGTCATTTATATATTCATGGTAAAGCAACACACACAAAAGTGTTTTTTTTTTTTACAACACAAATACTATGTGCAGAACATCCTCTACACTATGTGTAGAACATCCTTTATACTATTAATAAAATTATGTACCAGTAACTCATAGAAGTAAATTATCAAAAATAGTGGAGAATTTTATATCATGCAAAACAAATGATTTTCTGGTGTGACAACAGTGAGACAAGGAATAAGCAACAATGTGAAGATCACCAAGAGAATATTGTATAATTGACATAGAACTTATATGCAAATATTTCACTCATTCCTTAATGATCAATATTTTTCAAGAAAATAAATTTACGTCAATAAAACTGGATACACGAAACAAAAATAAATTTTATGGAAAAAGACAAGGATAAGTACCAATTTGGAATGCCCTTCCTGTCGATCTCAGAAACAACCAGACACTGGAGTCCTTTAAAACCGATTTAAAGACACATCTATTTCGCAAACACCTTCTGGGATGATTGTCAACCTTATTTTCCAGTTAATGCATAATGGCTGTGTTGCTTATGGTTGAAATGGCTAGAAAGACTTTGCCATTGTATGCTTGTACTTAGTTTTTGTAGTGTTGCGTTTGTTTTAAATGTGGTAAATTATAGATTTTTTTGTTGCCTTTGTACCACGCTTCGAGCCTTTGGGGATGAAGCGTGTTTTTGAAATGAACTTTATTATTATTATTATTATTAGAGAATACACTGTATAAAAAGGCTAACATGCCCATTGTTTTGCCTCTAACATGCCAATTGTTTTGCCTCTAACATGCGCATAGTTTTGTCTCAAAGGATTTACAAATTAAATAAGTAATTTTTGAATGGTTTTTTTATATGATAAATTTAAATTATGACTTTTATGATACGTTTGAAGTTATTTATAACATTCAAAAAATGATCTCTGGACAATTGGATGCACAATGCAATCCAGTGCCGGAGCCATGTAAAATACAAACTAACCTTCTGAGTCTTACACCAAATGTGTGAATCTTCATTGTCATAACATTATCCAAACATATGGAAGCATTTTTCTTCCACTTGTAAAGCATGCAGCAACATTCTTTTATTAAAAATTATAAATACAAATGAACTCAAAGGTCAAGTAATGAAAGTGGATCCATTTATCAAAACATCAAGTGAAAAAATTGCTTTTATAGCAATAAACACAGTGAAACTTGAATGAGAAATGTATCTAGCTGCTCTGTGCATGCATCAAGAATGCATCCGTACTTACCTCGCAAGGGTTTTTGGTTTCAACACCTTTCAGGGGGTCTTTTATTGGTTTCCGTGGGGGAGGAAGGGAAGCGCAGTCACTAGAATCTTTAGTGTGCTATAATAAAACACACAAAATAGAGGCCAAATATGTATTTATATATTATATACCTGAAGATTCAGGCTGTAATCCTCATTCAGGTTGTGATAATTGTGTCGGTTCAAAGAAGAGAACACAGAAAACCTTAGTAACAATGTAATGTAAAAAAATGTACGTCATTCAAAAATATTGGTTCATACACCTAAGAGACACATGTAATTGTGTTCAAATGATATGAACTATTCTATAACAGAGAACCTTCTTTAAGAAACATAATATATAAATTACCATGTTCTGAGAACACAAATATTGCCCTACTCAGTATAGTCCTACCTCATTACAAAAAATGCTGGAATGATAAGCTTTGAAATAAAAAGTATCAATAAAAACATGCATCTCATGTTTACAGATAAAATTACCAAATTGCTCATTTTTAGATAAAAGTAATAAAGATTCATACAATATTCAGGAAACGTTCCCAGCTTGTCAAGAATAAATATCTATGACTTTAAAGGCTATACAAAAATAACAGAGAAAGTGGGTTTAATCAAAACAACTAATGGACAAAGAATATATCATTTTAAACACTGCATACATTCATGAAAATATCAAGATTGATCAAACTGATTCAGATTGACTAGTTCAGTTCTACAATAAAACAGTTTGTCATCACTGGCCAGCACAAAAGTATACAAATGGCTTAATATGTTAACATGCATACAAATAAGTAGTCATAAAGTCCTAAAAGAGAGATGATCACTTTGAAACAAAAAACATAGGCAAACATTCTGTTTTAGGCTCAACACTCTCCTGGGAAGGCTAATAAAAATATATTAATTATGTGCATATCATCTAAAATGTGTTTCCACAAAATTGTTTACATGTCCCTGTTATTATTATATGTATGCTTCATGAACCACTGAAAATTGTTAAATATTTTACTGGGATATAAGAAATACAAAACAGATATTTAAAATGTCAATTCAGTTTTCATATATTATAATAAATAAGCATTTACTGTCTTTTTCCTCAAAAAAGGTCGAGTATGAGCACCTGCGATAGTGCAAGTTACATCCCTACTCATTTCAACAATGTAAATGTCAATCAATCAAATTTATGCAGTGCTTATTTTGGTCAGAAGTTTATTAAGGAGAAATCCTTTGTGAGTTGTATTTTTTAAATTCTCTCTCATAACAAATTAGATCGGTAACGTCAGAAATGCGTTTACATTGATTAACTTGCAAGAAAGAAAAAACTTCACTCTTGTAAGTGATTTAGGAAAATTTCTTTGACATATCATCTCCATAAGCAAATGCCTCAGAGTGTAATTTGAAAGAGACACCATATCTACTTGGGGCTCTTATTCTTATAATATAATTATTCAAGATGCTGGAATTTTCAATGCTGGAACTAATAATTTCTTGGAATTGTGTGAGGATGACCATAATGTTGTGAGGGTGACCATAATGTTTAAAGTCAATACAGAACACAGAATAATGACTTTGTTGTCCAATATTTCCTTACTAATAGTCAATGATCCAAAAAATATTCAGTTTCCATTTTCTCTGCACCAAAATTCCATAAAATTCATCAAAAGCTTTACAACTGCAAAATTATGTTGTTTTTTTAATGGGGCATTATCCTCAAGGTGTCTTCAGCATCTACAACACAAAGTTTCATTTATAGCTGGGGATTCTAGTCCTGTTCAAGCCATGTTATGTTCTCAATGCTGTTCAAGCCATCAGTTAATTTAAACAATAAAAAGTCCATTCCAAAAGTTATTTTCAAAATGTTCCTATTTATTAACATTTGCCTATGAATTGGTTAAAGGCCATTTTCCACACCACATAAGTAATTATACACATGCCAAGAAGCTTAGATTCATCCCCCTTTCCTGCATGAAAGGCATGCATTGTTACTTTACTGCCTCCAAATAGTAATTAATATTGGAGGAATAATCAAGTTTATAGTGCTTATAAAATTCTTGCTACATTCATGACAATTGTTATATTGAGCTATCCTTGTTTGACGTCACTTTCCATGCTGTAAATGAAGGCGCTTTCTGGGTTAAAAGCTATAAAAATCCTCACCAGGTTATAAAAAAGAAATGTAAAATTGATGATAAAACAGGCATGCAAAATTATGGTATCTAAGATGGAATGGGGAGCAAAGCTGCATGCTGTGTGCACCTAGTAAGATACTTACATTACAATCATTTTGAGAACTTAGATTCTTAGAGTTGGGGCTCTGAGAAACAGGGTTCTGTGAACTAGGGCTCTGTGAGCTAGAATTCTGAGGACGAATCTTCTGTGTACTGGGATTCTGTGGACTGATGTCCTGTGAACTGGGGTTCAGAGGGTCTGTTATAGGCTTCGTAGGTGGGGGGAGAGATGAGCATATCTCCGAAGCATTTGTGTGCTATAATAAATATATCAAAGTACTACAGGAGGGACAGAATCAATTAGAGGGACAGAATCAACTAACATTAATTGATGGTTAAATGCAACATAATGGAATATTCCAACATTCTTAATTATACTCCAGTTCTGTAGCTTATCTGTACTAAGGAGATATGGAAACATTAGTGACATAGAATGATTTTCAAAATGTGATAAAGTATACTCTATTATCTGGGCTTACAGAGAGGCTACCCACGTGTTACTGATTTATTTGTAACTCTTAAAAAGCCACACATGTATGAATATATTCTTAAATAGACACACATGTATGAATGAATTATTAAATAGACATACAAGTATGAATGAATTCTTAAAAAGACACATGTACGAATGGATTCTTAAATGGATACACATGTATGAATAAATTCTAAAATAGACACACATTAGATGTATGAATGAATTCTTTACTGTGACCAGAAAATCAATGTATGGCACAAATTAAAAAAATATATAATATGATTTCATTACGCTTTAGATAGGCATCAAGCCATCATTCCAACAGAATATTTAAATATAATCTTGTCTTCATATCTGTACATCTGAAGTTTTCATTCAAATATCTGTAATAATATTTGTTTGCTTCTGAGAATAAATTAATTATTTTTTTTTTATAACCATGATATCCCAAGTGTTAATAATTTATTAACTACAAGGTTTAAACAGAAAGCATGGTCCTATGATTACTTTGCTTTCCTCTTTCCCCATCACCTGAATCTCTATTCTGCCCCTATTCAATGATGCTAATTTTCAATGCAGGCAATGTTACACAGTTGCTTATGCCTGGTTCTTGAAGGTAAATTTGTGACCATCTATTTTTCAATGTCAAATTTGTTCACAATCCTTTATATTTTTGTCCATATACATTTGCTTGATGGCATCCAGAAAATTACCCCCTGGATAGTTGATAGCTTTTTGTATTAGATCACTGAAGGTCTTAACATATGGTCAGAATATGTTTTGTAAAATAAAAAAAAAAGCCTTTTTTTTCTTCTACTTTTAAAAAATTCCAATACTACTTTAAACATGAATGAAAACCGTGCTAGCAATAACATCACTCAGCATTAAGAAGGATCTTAATAAATGTGTCAGCTTGAGTTATGCAATAATTAAATTGTTATAAAAACTATGGTCTTCAAAGTCTTACTTTTGGCAGTAGTCTACTTTCCATCAACATTATATACTGCACCATTTGAGGTCCAAGTCATTTTTTATATCGCTCATAAGTTTTGACAAAGCTCCCCCCCAAAAAACAACTTGACTACTTATATTGATCTGCTGACAAAAACATTCTGAAAATTCTGCTGCAAAAAAAATATTAAACCTGTTTTTACATCATCTACTGGGAGCTGCCTATTATAGAAATAAATTATTTACAGATTATTTATTATAAAACAATTTTATTGAGACAAGGAGGGCTGAGAATATAGATTTTTCTTCCGTACATTTAAAAATATAAGGAGTATTGATTTGTAATATCACCCACCCTATTGTAAAAAAAAGAAAATTAAGTTATTTTTTAAGAAAATAAGCCGAATGATACAGCTGTGGAAAAGGTAATGAAATGATAATAATATGCGACAGACATTAATGCATTCATCAAGACAGATTCTCAAGTTAATTCCAGCAAACACATTACAAACAAATGATACAAATGTAACTTTGCCTTTAAAATTTTTAAACTCTTATATCCTAAACCTGTTGTAAAAGATAACTTTGGGCAGTTGAGAGAGAGAGAGAGAGAGAGAGAGAGGGAGAGAGAGAGAGAGGGAGAGGGAGAGAGAGAGAGAGAGGTGGAGAAGCAGAGAGGGAGGGAGAGAGGAGAGAGAGGGAGGGGAGGGAGGAGGGGGGGAGAGAGAGAGAGAGGGAGGGGAGGAGGGGGGGAGAGCGAGAGAGAGAGAGTGTAAAAGATAACTGTGGGGAGAAGAGAGAGAGAGAGAGAGAGAGAGAGAGGGAGAGAGAGAGAGAGGGAGAGGGAGAGAGAGAGAGAGAGGTGGAGAAGCAGAGAGGGAGGGAGAGAGGAGAGAGAGGGAGGGAAGGAAGGAGGGAGGGAGAGAGAGAGAGAGGGAGGGAAGGAAGGAGGGAGAGCGAGAGAGAGAGAGAGAGTCTTCATGAAGTTCAAAGGTTTTAATTATGAATCATTACCAGACTGATCTCAAATGGACAAGAAATGATCTAGGGTGAGTAAATGGGCTTAGCAAATCTACCAACTTCATCAAGTCAGGAAAAAAAAACAATCTAAGCAAAAGTTGAATACACAAATTACTTGGAAAAAAAAAAAAAAAACAAGATAAGTTGAATATAAAAATTAAAAACTTAAAAAAAAAAAAAAAAAAAAAAAAAAAATAAAAAAAAAAAAAAAAAAAAAATTTAAATAAAAAAAAAAATTTTTTTTTTTAAAAAAAAAAAAAAAAAAAAAAAAAAAATTTCCTTAATCATTGTTGAGTTTTTGACATTCAGACGTGAATTTTCCCAACGCACAAAAAATAATGCACAAAAAATAATGGAACGTGGCATGAATAATTTTAACAGCCAAAATAATGAAAAGGATTAATATCAGGAGAGTTTCTGTGGTTAGCATGGTTAAATAGAGCGAAAACTGCCCTGGACACTTACACCACAATCATTCATCTCTTTAGATCGTTCAGAATTCAAGGTATCAACAGTGGTTGGAGTATTTGTGCTAGGTTCATTGGTTGATGACAGTGTCATGAGGGTAGTTGGTGCAATCTCAGTACATTGTTGTGTTGCAGACAAACTCTAGAACATTGTATAAACACAAAGTTCAGGTACATGTTAGCAGCATGCAAGTGCAAAAAGTTAGCTCTGTCAGTCAAACTGACAAGAATCAATGGCTTTTTCTAAGAAGATGTTTTCAACAAAAGATTTAAATGAATTCAATTTTTTAATAATAGCTTACTTAAAACATCTAAGACTAGCAGTGCAATATTATGAAATCATGAACTTTAAAAAAAAATGATTTTTAAACATGTAATTTTTAGTTGAGACTGATCTGTCTTTTATGCAGATAGGTATTGAGTAATAACCTCGACAGCACCCCTTTAAAAAATTAAATATGGATCAGAGCTGGCACATATTGAATTTTAAAACTGAAGAGCTGTCTGATGCTTGGATTTCACTACACAGGCTCTCTACAAGGAAAGAATGACTTGCCACAACAGCTGAACTTAGCTTTGTGTTTTGAAATGTGTGTACCATACATAAGAAAAAAACTAAACTCTTTCGCAATAAATGTTCAAAATATTCAGACATTTTGAAAAATTAAAAGGTTTATGTTTTTGTATAAAATCGTAGAAAGGAGAAGAAAATAATCTATACATTTAAAATCGAGAAGTAATGTGTAAGTGTAAACATCCAATTGAGTTACTAAGGTTAGTATCTGAACAGAGAGTTAGTCTTTCACCAACCCCACATTCTATCATATTCTAAATACATCATTGTAAATAATTAGCATTAAGGCAATTTTAATAGTGTTTTAACATCCTTTTTATCTGTTAATTAAGACATTAACATTTCTACATTTTTAACCTTTTCTTTTAACAAGAATAATAGATCGAAAGAAGATGCTTATTTTGAACTTTAAAAATAAACAAAGAAAATTTTAAAATTTCTCATAAAAATCCCATTATTATTTACAGTTACAGTTATAATAATATGTTAATATTTTAAGATATGGCATGTACACAATTATTTCTTTCCTAAACAACTTTATCAAATCCATGTAACAGTCAAGGCTTGTGACAACAACGCTAATCAACAAGTACAGGTTTCATGCAGCTTCTAAGTGCACAGAATCAATTTCACAATAGTCTGGCCATTCCACAACTAAGATTATATACACAATTTCATGCACCTGGGATTCTGGAGCAAAACCAAAACATAGTTACATACCGATAATTGGCATCCTTCCTTGTCCCAGTGCTGGCGATACCAGTCAAGCCCATCAGAACATCTTCCAATAGTGTTGCACCATCGGCAATCAAAGGCTACATCGACATGTTTGATGCAAGTATTACAGTCTGATAGCCTATTGCAAGCTGATAGAGACAAGTCATTAAAGCTAAAGCTTCATTTACCAGGAAACTATTTTAAAATGTACAAATAAGTTATAAAACTTACAAAATTACAACAACAAAAAATGCTCAAAAAACAAACTTATTCTTAGTATCAAGAGCAAATAACAGTTTTGGAGCTTTAAAAAAAAAAGGTTTTTTAGGGTGGGTTTTATCACCAATCAGCTGGAGATTAGCAAACCTTATGCAAAATGACCTCTGAAATGTGCACTTGCTATTTGTAGCAAAGATACAAATTCTCACAATTTAACAATAAGTTTAAGTTGCTGGCTTTGTCTAGTTCACCAATTTTTATTATATTCATATAAAAATATCCAATTATAACATGTGCTTCAACTTAAAATGTTTTTTTTTCAAAATTCATTTGAAAGATTTACAGATTTAGATATTTTGTTATCTAGAAGCTAAGATAAAATATTTTTATCAGTTTCTTTTAACTGACTAAATTATTTAAAATTTAAAAAGCTCCTATTATTTGAGAGCTCATGACTTTATCTAGATATCTTGGCTTTCTCTTGCATTTTTTCCATTATTTGTGCAGTTTTGAGATACTGTGGCAGTTAATAACACATTTTAAGGTAACTGAATCATGAAATCAAACAATTTCTAAAAGTAGATGAACTTTTATTCAAATGTAACAAAAATCTTACTAGGGAGTGGCTTGAACACAATGACTGTCCCAGACTTCACAGTGTCTACCTTAACTGAAACCTTGTGGTACTCATATATAGTCCTTCTCTTGATCTCTGAAAAACAAAAGCATGTATTTATCAGACTGTGTAAAAACCCTTTTTTTCATTTCCATGTTTTAATTTCTCACTGGTTTTTTTGTTTAGCTAATGTCTATGGCTGTGCAATAAAATTTCACTTTGGAATAATATCTTTAGACACATACGGCTTTATGAGTACTTGATCTGTTAACTATTTATAAATAAATCTTTTCAGAAACTTTAGATCAATTATGTCTTACTGTATTCAGGGATATAAGTGTCATTATAGTAGGCATCAGAAAGTCCAATTTTAACAGGATGCTCATCAGTTGAAATTCCACGTACAGAGATAGGAACCTAATATGTTGTGAGAAAAAATAATTTCATTCAATGACCATAACAATATATCAGATAATCAGTTACAGTTCACAAACCCATTAGTGCACTACAACATATTGCTAACACAAAAATTAATAATCTCTTCCAAAACCCTATATTTTTACATCATGATAATGTATTGTACTTACTGAATTGTACACAAAGTGAATCACATCATCTTTATGAAGAATGGCTTGAAAACTGAAGTTACCACCTTAGAGTGAATAGGATTTCATGAATGAATGCACTTCATATTTTATTACATTTTAAGCAATAATCTTTAAAAAATTGCAGTGAATTGCAATGCATAAGCTGAAGTTTTAAATAAAATTGTCACTTTTGCAATCATTACCAAGGTGCTTTTAACAAATATTTGACAAGCTAGAAATCCATTGTGCATTAAGTTATCAGAAATTTTGCTACAAGATCCATGAAGATAAATTCAAATTCATTCCTCATATGGTTGACAGAATAGGCTGATCAAAATGGAGATAGAATATTTGATATATGAATAACATGATATACTCACTTGAATTCTGATATATGAATAACATGATATACTCACTTGAATTCTGATCCTTTAGCATGACATTTTTCCACTCTACTGTGAATTTGTCCTCTATAAATATATATATATATGCAGGATACGTAACATTTAAAATTTAAAAAAAATTGATTGCAAAGATTGTAAATAGTGAAAAGCATACTATAATAAAAAAAATTTTGATAGAATTGTTCACTGATTTAGACTTAGCTGTTAAAATTAAAGATGTGGTCTTGGAATATTAGCTAGGATAATAATGTAGGGAGCTGGGTGGCCGAGTGGTCTAAACTAAGCAAATCTCAAGTTGGTGGTCTGGAGTTTAGCGCGTTTAAGCAAAAACATCACCAGCACCCCTAGTTGATGGGACTCGTTAACCTTGGATGGCAACTCATCTAAGAGAAGGAAACTCTCAATTCAAACCCGGAGTCCCAGAGGCAGATAACATTGGTACAATGAAAAATTCTGACAACTCCTGCAGCGCAACTGGTGCCAAGCTGTATCATTCACATGATGTTCCCTTGGTGTATCCAGCGGCGTGGAAAGAGGCGATTTGCTTTTGGGAACCAGCTTATAATCCTAAAAGAAAAATCTCAGGCCTTGTCGATTTTGTCCTGCAAAGTCTGCAAAGACGGACGGATGCCATCAAAATTGTAGGGATCTTCAAAAAGGTTTACCAGTTCCAACATTTTTTTCATTTGCATTTATTTTCAAAAGAATTGTTTTCAATTTCTAATTGCTCCAACAGATGGCAGTTGTCTCCACCCCACCCCCCAAAAAATGTCAGAAATGAAACTAATGTTATAAAAATACATTTCAGATCATAACTTGAAAATATATAAATATTTAATGTTATTTACTTACCATCATTTTTGTAGTAAACTCCAGAATCTTTGCTCAATGATGGATCAAAGTTAGCCATTAAAGGGGCAATGTACTGAGTAGCTGTTAGCCATTGGTGCAGAAAGGGACTCATGTAAATAAAACCTGAAATAGACATGAAAAACAAATAACTTTTAATCATCACATCCTTGAGTTTACATCAAGGAACCATGCCAAAAAATATAATAATTTAATAAAATCAATAACAAATCCATACCAATATTTTCTGAACATTTTGGTCTCTTGATGTAAGCACGCTTGTTTTAAAAGAAATAAGATCTTTGAAAAGCTTAAAAAATTCATCAAAATAAAAAAAAAATCAAAGGAACACAATAAACTGGCTTAAAGCCATAAAACTCAAAAGTAATTTAGCGTAACAGTGACAGGTGAGCTTAAATTTTTTAACATAAAATAAATAGGATTTTCCTGAGAAAACAAATTTTTTTTGCTGAAATAAGATTTGTTGAAAGTAAATATTGAAATATCTGAAAACATAAGAAAAAAACAACGTCTCTTGGTCATTACCTCCTGTGGCAACAGTAACATTGGTGACCTCATGTCCATAAAAATGAAATGGAAACTTGAGAGGGATCACCTGATCAATGAGTGAACAGAAAGATTTTACACAAGTAAAAAAAAAAAAAAATTAGGAATTTTCTTTTCTTTAAAGAAGGTAAATATGAGTGGACAAAATAGAAATGTATTAACAGTAATAATATTAGACAGCTAAAATCAGAGGTTCTTAACCTGTGGTTCCATAAACCACCTCGGGGTCAGTGAAAAGGTGCAAGGGGATCCATTTACTTTGATTTCTTTTGTATTTTTATTTTTATGTGTTTAGAAACTTTATTCTTAGTTGGGGTCTATGCCTTGTTTTAACTGGTTAAAGGGTAGGCCTACATGGAATAAACAAAGAGTTAAGAACTGCTGTTTTAAATGGAAGAGACTGAAATGGAAAAGCGGAATTTAGGTTTTAAAATTATACCGAGGGCAAAGAAAGCATAATTATTAATACAAGATTAAAATTAAATGGAAACAATTAGCATTTGTGTAAACTTACTGCTGCCACTCTATGTCCAGTTGAAAGTGTCTCATGGCGGGGTACATCTTTTAGCTCCTGCCAGTACTCACTTCCTTTACTCTTGAGCACATCTGTAGTATAGTATTCGTGGAAATCCTGAAATAGGTTCCAAGAAATTTACAAATTAATAGGGGTGTGCCGGAATCCGATCCGGAATCCGGTTCCGCCGGATTTTGCACTATCCTGTGAAATCCGGTTCCGCCGGATTTACATGTATCCGGAACAACCGGAATCCGGAATATACCGGATTTTGGAATTTGCCAGATTTTGTGACTCACCGGATCATAATCTGAAATAAAAGTAATTCTCTTTCCCGAATTCCACACGATCACGATACATTAATCGATTGTTTCGAGCGTTGAGCTTGTTTAATGTTTAATATTCCGAACATACCAGAGGCTAGAGTCAGCACCGCTAATAGTGGTCAATAGTACCAAAATCCGGAATCCGGGAGAAACCGGAATCCGGATTATTCCAGAATCCGGATCCGGCGGATTTCGCATAATAAAATCCGGATCCGGTTGGAAAAAACGGATCCGGCACACCCCTACAAATTAACTAACCAATCTGCCTATTTAATGCTCTGACAATGAAGAACTCAGCTAAAGAAGTGATTTGGAATATCTTCTTCTTCTATTTTTTGAGGGCCCAGGATCAATGAATTGAAAATTCTGGCTCCAATGTTTCAGAGGGGTTCGCGATGTTACTGTTCATGGTTTTGAAGGGGATATTTCACTGGTTGCATGAGCTACTCAGCAGTGGTATTATGAACTGGGGGTTGGAAGACAGGAGACAAGAGACGCAAATGGGTCAAGTGTAGCCGCCTCAACTGTTGCTTTTGGAAGCTTGTTCCAATCTAACATTAATCATTCATGTTTTAAATGTAAATATAGGTTAAAAAAATAGTTCTAAAGTTAATAACATCTTTTTCTGTTATAATCTTTTTTAACTTATGTGTAAGGAAATTGGTCCAAAATTAAAATTACTTTACAAACAAGTCTGCCATAGTGATAGTCTAGTTATTTTTTCAATCCTCTGAAGAGTTGTTTTAAACAGATGGATATGCCCATAAATGATGTGTTTATATCCCAATAGACCTATGGCACTAAGGATAAAAATAAAACTCAATATCATTAGGTCCATAAGAACATTTCACCAACAAAGGTAAACAATTTTTATATTAAAGGACAAGAATAAATAACATGAATGAACAAAAAATGTTGGATGAAAAGAAAAAATGTGGGGGTGGAGGTGGTGTTTTGTGTTCAAGGGAGATAATGGATTGAAGATAACCTACATGAATAACATCTGAATCTGCAAATGGATCTGCTATAGTGGTAGATGCTACCGTTGAGGAGCCAGTGCCAGTAGATGAGTTAGAAGATTCATTTGCATTCGCTGCACCATTGCTGGTTTGAAAAGAACTGGTGGTCGGTGCAACAGTAGAATTAGGCTTAGAGCCTGCACCCTCTCCAGGTGCATTAGTTGAGGGTCCTTGGAGAGAATATATAGCAATTAAAATTATTAAAGCATTGAGAATAAGATGTCAAATAATAATAATGATAATAGATAACCTAGATCATCCAAGGAAAAAAAAAATATCAGAAATATTGATACATCATGTGAATTTTATTATTATCTAATCCATATTTTTTAGCCTACATTCATCATGAAATTATCCAGAACTTGTATGAATTTTCTAAACTGATGAATAGAAAAGTTTTTTCTATTTATGACAATTATATATTATTTTATAATGGCTAACATAATTTAACATTAGAAAATCACTTTTATTAAGCATTTCTTTCATACTACTACAATTGACAAACATTTGAATCAGTTGAAAGGGAAAAATAGCATATTTCTTTTACCCCAAAGAATAACATGAGTTATTCCTTCTATGGATTTATGTGGTTACATAAAATAGAAATTTGCCAAAAGTATGATGTATCAAACTAAGTTAGAAACTGGAAGCTTTCATAAGTTGCTGATCTACAAAAAAATAAACATAGCATTTGTAGTTTAGACTATTAAAACGTTTGAAGTAAAAAAAATTCGAACAGAAATGTAACAGAAATGCACTTTAAGCGGTCTGATATTTTGCCATTAGGGTACCTGGGGTTACAGCAGGCTGAGCTTGACTGGAATGATCTGGTGTTAACCCAGGGCTTGAACTGCTACTACTATCAACTTGACGGCGCAACCTGGAATGTGAATCTAATTTGACAACAAAACTTCCTTCTGGAGTGAGTTTATTTGAGTTTATCACATGGTACTGTAAATCTGCAGAAATAAAGAAATAAATTTAGTTTTTAAATATTGTTTTTATATTAGAAAATGTATTTGTAACTTCTGAAATAATGCAAACAAGTGGCTGACATAAAAACAGCATTTGTTTTACTAATGGGATCAGAATGTTTTATATGCCTATATCAATTTAAAATTATACCAAACTTAGAAAACCCCATTTTAAGAGTTTAAGTTCTGAATGAATGGTGTTGATGTTCTATATTAATTATAATTAACCATTATTTTAAGTTTTCTCTACTTGAGGGTAAAATATGGCAAGATGAAGTGCTAGCTTTACAACTTCCATTTCAACTCACATAAAAGAGTTTTATTCAAAGAAACACCATGACAACCAAAGATCAAACTAATTAAAATTTACTCAGCTTTGTATTACAAGGTGGAAGTTACAAAACAAAATGTCACCTACTGATTAATTAGTGGAGCTGTTTGCTGTCCCATACTTTCATTCTATTTTTAACAAATTTCATTTTTTTTTTAATTGGAGGAGGAAGGGGAAGGAGAAAACAGACGGGGAATTCAATGCTTTTTCAGGAGTTGGAGGGAATGCAAACTGTTAGCATTCCCTCCCAACTCCTCCTAAAAATGATTATTTACAAAGTCAAATCACTTTGAACTTAGCTTGCATTTTTAAAAAATGTTTTTAACCAGAAAGTTTAAAGAGAATAATTTTTTATGGAATATCAATCATTAAAAAAAATGTAGTACATGTAAACAGAATGTAATAAGATTTTATCATATTTTAGGAACTAAAGTGTTGTTTTGTTACTCAGAAAATAACGAAAGATAGAAAGAAAGAGAGAAAAAAAGTGTGTGTGTGTGTGGGGGGGGGGGGGAGACAAAAAAAACCCCCCACCAAAAGAGGGAGGGGGGGGGGGGGGGGGGGGGGGGGGGAACAAAAACAACCCCCCACCCAAAAGAGGGGGGGGGGGGGGGGGTTTAAATGACAAAGTGTCAATTTAGGCCTTTTATACAGACCTGTTTACCCCTACGCTTTCACCTTAAGAATACAGTATTAGTGCAAGGCTAAAAAACCTACTGTTTCAGTTTTTTCTTCCCTTGCTTGGTTTTTTTTAAAAATAGAAATATAAATAATTGGGGTGTTCATTAAACTGTTTTAATTTTTTATTATTATTATATTTTTTTTGGTGTGTGTGTTAACATCCTAAGCAATTGAATAAGAATAACAGTGATTGGTCTTTGCGGTCTCGATCTCAATTAACCAACCAGAATATTTTTCTTTTAGTGGATGTGTTGCTAATACTTAATACAAACATCTTTTATCACCCACCTCAGGTGTTCACTTCGGGAAATTCTCAGTATAACTCAATTTATGTGTCCAAATATGAAACCATGATTACATATGTTTTATAGACTCTTAAAGTGTGTTTACTCTAATTATTCATGTTCCTCGCGAGATTAAGACAGTCACTCCATGTGACAAAAGATGTTTTCTACTTGTGGTAGCTAAATACATGTTCTAATGTCCAACAGAGACTTGACACATTGATACACTTTTCAGGACTTTAAAAATCAAGGCAAAAAATCGTAAAATCGATTTAAGTAAACTGATGAAAAATGTGCCATATTGCAAGGAAATTTAATAAATATCTACATCTATACACCTTTTTTGTTTAATTTTGTACTTGTTTTTCAACTTTGTTTTTTTTTTATCTTACAAATTCATACTTGTTTCCATATTACCAAAAAAATAAACACAAAAAAGAAATAACAGATGTGTTGGCAATAGTAATGAATTTTAGCTCAGATATGCCTCTCAGTCAAGCAAATCTGTGCAGTAAGCACCTTCTTTGCTTGCCTAAGGCCTTTTCTCATCCGTAAGAAACAAATCAAAGGACCAATATCCTGTATATTTATTTTTGTTAATTTATATAAGCAGTTAAATGGATTTCCTGATATAGCCCACCCCCCCTTTTTTTTTTTACCAAGCTACTCTTTTGAGCTTAAAACTACGTTTTTTGAGAGCTTAAAACTACGTTTTTTGAGAGCTTAAAACTACGTTTTTTGAGAGCTGAAAACTACGTTTTTGAGAGCTGAAAACTACGTTTTTGAGAGCTGAAAACTACTCTGACACTAACCCAGGGGTAAACAGGTCTGAAAACTGCTCTGACACTAACCCAGGGGTAAACAGGTCTGTAATATATATATATAAGCCAATCCTAAGCTCCTTGCTTAGAGCCCCAAAGAAATGTCTGAAAGACAGCTAAAGTTTTGACATTGCTACAAGAAGGCAGTTATTATATATTTCAATGTGAATAAATAATTGATTCGTTCTTTTTTTTACAACTCTTTTCTACAAAGCTTTAATTTCCTCACAACTTTTCATCGAAATGTAGTATTTAAAGTTATCTGCATCATTTAGAAAAGAGTGATAAAAAAATAATGAGATGCTTTTATGTAGAACATTTTGTTACTGCTCATTTCTTTTCAAGGGTGTAAGAGGGCGTATCCCCTCCAGTAGTTGACAACAATGAATTCCTCTATCTTAAGTAAGAGGACGTTTCGCTTCCTACTCTGGTCAGTAGTTGACAACAATGTATTCCTCTATCTTATGTAAGAGGACGTCCCCACGCCTACTCGGGTCAGTATTTGACAGCAGTGAATTCCTCTATCTTCTGTAAGAGGGCATCTTCTCTACTATTCTGATCAGTATTTGACAACAATGAATTCCCCAATCTTATACAACGGCTTGAGAATCAGCTCCAATGGCACGTGAACGTGCATGTCTTGCCACCCTTCCTCCTGGCCCCATGGCTCTCTCTCCCCAAAGTTTAAGGGGCACGGCTCTGACCTGAAATCAATTCAGCCGACTTTTGAGATTTGGGAGGTCTAACACAATCACATCCCGGGCTGACGTCACCGGGCTATTACTGGAGTGCTTGGGGGAGAGGGGGGCAAGCCGTTGGACTAGATGGACGGGCTTAGAGGGATTGTGGGAGGGAGGAACACTCTATCCCTCTTACACTGTTGGTTTTTTTTTAATGCATCTGCCCCCCCCCCCCACCACCACCCTACCTTTCCTCACTTTAAAATCGAATTGATAAACTCAAATAAAAAAATCTTTACCTTATTAAACCCGCATTATTCCTTGATTTAAAAAAAAAAAAACTACAAAAAAAAAAATATTCCAAGAAGACTTAAAAATAATAATTCTATTAACATCACTGCTTCATTTTCTCAACGAAACAAAAAATTATGTCTAAACACCCATAATCTTTTCAGTTTTTAGTTACATTGAAATCCCTTAAAACAAAAGTGGGGGGGGGGGGGTGCGCATTTTATTTAATGCAGATAGTTATGAAGCGTCTGATAACAGAGCTGTAATTGTATCCCCCATGTCGCTATACCAAGTTGTCACCAGACCTTAAAGCGCGGTATGACTGGTAATAATATAGTGCTCATTGCCCCGGGTCCCCCATGACGCTGTGCCCCACAGGTTTACCGTTGACAACACCGCCAACCACCTAGTCGGCTTACGCTGGTGGCAAAGTCATTATTGGGGCGTGCCTTGTAAATCTTCTAAAACAAACCCTTAATCTGGCGTGTGTCGCCAGTACCACGAGGGAACGTCTTCTGCACAAAAAAAAAAACACAAAAAAACTCGTTTACAGCCGTGATAGGAAGTCTCGGCCATTACACAAGGCTTTAGCCCACGGACAGCTTCACGCGACCAGGAAAGCGATCGAAATTAATATATGACATAACCACCATCTCTTCCTCCACAGCATATACTATCAACCGTTGCGGGCCCGGTCCTCTGCCAGAAGAAGCAATCAAGAACAATAAAGTACCGTGGGGGGGGGGGGGACGACGGGGGGTCATATAATCGAGGTCAAATCCAATTGGTGTTTGTTTCGAGGGAACTAATATTGAACATAGATCAGAAAAAATATGTGGAACCCGGATGTAATGCATCAAGGTCAAAACTATAACTTCCTCTAGCAGGCTAAGGTCAAAGTCAATATTTAAAAAAGGTAAAATAAAGAGAGAAAGAAGGCGGTAACTGAACGAGAATGTACAGGACGATGTGTCATTGTTGTACAGGACGATGTGTCATTGTTGTACAGGGCGATGTATCATTGTTGTACACGAAATGAGAAAACACGCCAGGATCAAACAGGCAACCTAGACTTGAAGTTAACGTGTACAAGTTGTCTTTCTTTCTGTCTTTCTTTCTAAAGCCGTCATTTCCAAAGTGCATCTAAAACTGCCCACATTTTGCCCCCCACATCCCAAACCATAGAAACATTTAAAAAAAAAAGCTAAATGGGCCCACCGAGTGCTGGTGTCAAATGACCATCTAATTCTCTATTCAGAGAGTCCAATGAACTAATAAGTCCAAGTCTTATTCTGTGTGTAGAAAGCAGGAAGTTTAACGACGGGCCACATACAACAAACCCGCGGACCGCCGTGACAACTCGTTAAGCTAGACTCGCATGTCACGACATTGGTAGATCAAATACGATTGGTTGTTGTCAGATCTCTGATTCACCCATTGATAGAGAGAACGAGAGGGGGGGGGAGAGAGAAAGGATGTCTCGATGGACAAGGGATGTCTCGATGGACAAGATGAGCTTGTTAAGACAGTCGCAAGCCTGCGTAATCGGTCAATCAAGTTAACAAGAAGTTAGAGGCCCCGGGGGCGCCAGTCAACAATCTATTTCACCAAACCAGGAAGATGTGATGAGCGCCTCCGTCCATACATAAACGCGCCCTGACTCGGCTTTCATTTTTTAACTATTCCAAAAGCCGATACGAACGAGAGAGAGAAAAAAAAAAGAAGAATAAAAAAGAAAGATGCATCTAATCTGTGTTAAGCTAGAGCGGTGAACCTGGGTGGGTGTCTGATTGATTGGTATCAAACTGAATGGGCTTGCCGATCTAAGGCTTCCAACAGGATCGCACCAAATTCATCTCAAAATGGCTTTACGCGTGCGTTGTCGGAATTGGAGTGTTACACATTTCTATATTTAATTATACATGATTATTACAAGGCACCAACGCATCATAACAAAACTCTCCACGAAGTCTCATTATTTAATCATTTGTTTTGGTTGCCATAAATGACACCCAACATAGTGTTCAAACGAACGAGATATGCTGTTGTTTTGTTTTTTAGTAAAATGTGGATTGGTTTCTGACCTCCAAAGGGGATGTAACGGGATAATTGAATCGAAATGTGAATTTTGACAAGAAAACAATCAGTGGGTCAAACACAGCTGGGATATATTGTTCTACTTATTTCACCACTTCAACATTATCGAGGGCTGTGTTCTATTCATTTCACCACATCAACATTATCAAGGGATATGTTCTACTCATTTCTCCAATATTGCCTGAAGAATGTTCACAAGCACAGTAGTATTTCAAGCATAAAGGACCTATCTCTATTATACATTGCGTCTGATGTGCCCAGCTTCCTTTTCACAACGTACCCTCTCCTACTCAACGTGTTTTCTATTAATAGTACTGAGTTGGGGGGGGGGGAAGCGGTCACGCAGAGAGCGTCATGCGTGACGGCTGAACTCAGGTAAAAACCGGTACGGTGTGTGACTATCTGTTGGGCTATTGTTTAAATCTGATGTGCCCAGCTTCCTTTTCACAACGTACCCTCTCCTACTCAACGTGTTTTCTATTAATAGTACTGAGTTGGGGGGGGGGAAGCGGTCACGCAGAGAGCGTCATGCGTGACGGCTGAACTCAGGTAAAAACCGGTACGGTGTGTGACTATCTGTTGGACTATTGTTTAAATGCCGGCAGTTATGCTGTAGGACTATTGTTTATATGATGTAGGACTGTCTGTAGGAAGGACAATTGTTTTAAGGCCGTCAGGTAGGGTGTGGGAAGGCCTGTATGACTATTGTTTATAGAAAATGAGATTGGGTTTTTGTAACACTTTGACCCACCGGGTATTCTCTCAAAATAATCGGACCCGGTGTAAAAAAAACTGCACCCGGTTCAGCCCTAGTTTAATAAAATTTAACTGTTCATATAGATTGTTTTTTTGTTTGTTTTTTTGTTGTTGCTTTTTTTAACCTGCACATGGCAAGGATTGAATTTTTTAGTGGCCATAAACCAGCATGGTGGATCCAGGTCGTCTGCTCGTGCCGACTGGGGAAACCAACACCACTTTGCTCGAGTGGTGTACACGTGATCTGCCTCTACGTGGCGTTGCTGACCAGTACGGATTAACATCCGGAAGCCAAAGATCACACACGTCCATGTCAGAAGGACCCACTGAGCTAGGAGGGGGGGCGACGCAAAGCCCTCTTTCACTGGGAGGAAGACATTTTGCTCAAACCACTATTACTCATGACAATGCAAAATCTATCATTAACGCAGGTTCGACTGGGGGGGCTTGGACAAGATCCTGCCCCTCCGACCGTGGCTTCCTCAAAACGCCCTCGATACCCACTACTCGCTATACCATTGCAAGTGTGGCCGATGCCAAGGCATTACCACAGCGGTGCGAAATGATCTCACGGTGGAGATCATCGAGTGTAAGCGATACGCCAATACTGACACCCTGTCAGTAAAAGTCACTAAATGTGGGAAAACGTTCGCCGTGACGAACATTTACAATTCTCCAAGCAATGTGATCACGATCCCCACCCACGGGGAGACGATCTTTAAACGGACTATAATTGCAGGAGATTTCAATGCCAAATCCCCCATGTGGGGTTATCCAGAGCGCAACGGCTCTGGTAAGCACGTGGAAGAGGTATGTCTCGAGACCAACCTTATCAGGCTTCAAGACGAGAAGAGCACGCCCACTCTTCTCCATTACGGCCATGGAACGGAATCCAGGCCAGACCTGACGCTCGTGTCCGCTGATCTCGCGGGACATCAGGTCCTTAGTGTCCTTGACGACATTGGGAGCGACCATTTGCCCATACTGCTTAGGGTTGACTTGGGACAGGCCAAAACCAAGTGCGATAAACGCCACTGGCTCTTTCATAAAGCCAACTGGCAAGATTTCCAAAGTCAGTGCGAGACCAAGCTCGGACTAATTGCAGTCGATGTGGCCGACTCAGACTTAGATGTTGCTTTCGAGAAGTTCAATGACGTCCTCCTAGAGGTCGCCCGTGTGACGATCCCGAGAACGACCGGGAAGCGACCGTACAAGCCTTTTTGGAACAAAGAGCTTGCAAAACTCGTGAAACTAAGAGCAAAAGCTCGGAAAGAAGCCGCGAGGAAGAAAACACCGGCTGCTCGTGCTGGTTACAATCAACTTACGGCTGAGGTCCGGGCAGCTGTTCAAAAGGCGAAAAAGTCGAAGTGGGTTAGCGCGTGTGAAAAACTCAATCTTCTGGACGGTAGGAAGGTGTGGAATCTGCTCGGAAGTCTCTCTGGTGCGGGGAAGGCCAAAAACCCGCAGCCAGTACTATCGGACAAGGGTGTCGTGGCGAGCGACAAGGAAAGAGCCAATGTACTGAATGTTCACTTTGCCGCAGTGAACAATGAGTCAAAAGTAAGAAAGGAGACTGACGAGCACAGGGAAATCCGCCGTCTGAAGATAAGGGGAGCTCGTATCCAGCGTACTGGACCCCACCCTGAGATATTCACAGTTCCCTTCACAATGGAAGAATTGCAAACCGCGCTCAAAAAGTGCTTGCCGGCGAAAGCACCGGGCCCAGACAAAGTTCACAATGAAATGTTAACCCATCTGGGTAAACAGGGGAGAGAACTTCTGCTGGCTCTCATTAACCGAACTTGGACTACAGGTATTTTACCGAAAGTGTGGAAGCAGGCCATAGTGGTTCCCGTACCAAAGGAGGGAAAACCAGGCCATTTACCAGGTAGCTACAGGCCAATATCGCTGACGTCCTGTGTGGGCAAAGTGGCCGAGCGAATGGTGAATGGAAGACTCTACTGGTTTTTGGAGAGTGGAAAGCACCTACCACCGACGCAAGGTGGCTTCCGTAAGGGTAGGCAGCCCATGGACCAGGTGGTCCGTCTTGTTCAGTCTATGACCAATGAACTCCAGAAGAAAAATCATTCGTTGGCAATTTTCTTTGATCTCAAGCAAGCATATGACCGCGTGTGGCGCGTTGGCCTCATGCATAAATTCCAGAAGTTGGGTGTCACTGGAAACATGTCCGGGTGGGTGACGGACTTTCTCAAGGACAGATATATTGTCACACGGGTTGGCAATAGTCTATCGAAGCAGCTTGCTCTAGAGGACGGACTCCCCCAGGGGTCTGCCCTCAGCTGCACTTTGTTCTTGGCCTATGTCTATGACTTGCAAGAGGGATTAGTGTCCGATAATGCCATGTTCGCTGATGATCTAGTAATCTGGACTTCTGGTCCTAGCATCAACCACTTGCAGAACCGGCTGCAAAACGATCTCCATACCATCGAGGACTATGCGAGACGGTGGAAAATGGTTGTGAACACTGAGAAGACGGTCTATTCTAAGTTCACTAACGGAAGAAAGGTGCTTGAGACCGATGTTAAACTCTCCATAAATGGGAAAGATTTGGTATGGGACAGGACTCCAGTCTACTTGGGGATTAAGTTGGATCAGAAACTCCGACTCCATCACCACGTACACGAACTATGCGCCAAGGCTTCACAAAAATTGGGCTTGGTGAAAAAGCTAGCTTGCACTGAATGGGGTGCAGAAGCAAGACTGTTGAGATCGCTCTACCTTAGCAGTGTGAGAGGAACAATGGACTACAGTTTGCCCGTCCTAGCCTTCGCAAGCCATACGGCTTTGGAGGAACTGGACCGCATCCAAAACCGTGCTCTAAGGTTTGTTTGCGGGGCAATACGAACCACACCCACGGCGGCGGTGGAGATCATTTCCAATGTCGAACCGCTCGAGGTCAGGCGAGAGAAGGCAGTCCTTACGACGGTAGAGCGTTACCGCCGCATGGACAGAAAGGATCCCTGTTTCAAATTACAAGACGAATGGGAGAAAAAGTCCAGATTGAAGCGACCATCCTTCATGGACATGGTTCACAGTCTTGAAGAAGACGTTTTTCTGCCCAGAAACAGGGAAAAAGTGAAAGTGATCCCCGCGCGGGGACCACACAAAAGTCTTCCCCTGCCGGACATTCGACTGGAAATGGTTGATGCCAAAGCCAGCGAAGGCAGTCCTCAATTAGACCCATCAGAGGCTGTGCAACGCACGATTGACGCCTACCCGAACAGCTTGGTTAAAGTCTTTACGGACGGCTCATGTTTCACGGAGGAAAAGCGTAGTGGCTATGGTGTCCTCATCCAGTATCCCGCAGAGATAGCTCCACCCGAGGAGCTATCAGGCCCATGCGGTAGGAATGCAACAAGCCTCGATGCGGAAATTGAGGCGATACTGGTAGCTCTTAAGAGGTTGAACCAACGGCTAACCAATCGGAAGTCCTTCCCGGACGTTGTGGTCTTCACCGACTCTCGTTCTGCTCTCGAACTCATGGGGGAGAGTTCGGTGGGCTCGACAAAGATCACTGTCATTCTGGAAACAGTAGGCTCCATCCATGCACATGGCCCTAAGGTAATCTTCCAGCTAATCACTTCGCGCTTAGAGGCGTCGCTTCCTGACAGGGCAGATTTCTTAGCCCAAGAAGGCGCAGCCCTACCTCAACCAGACAATCCCATGACTCAGCTCGGAGCCACTGTCTGGTTGAAAGACCATTTCAGGAGAAAATGGCTTGGAAAGTGGGACACGGCCACTACTGGACGACAGTTTTACCGGGAATTTCAGCGGCCGAGCAAAAGCGACCCATGGTGGGAGCTTAGTCGTAGAGAACAAAGCCTTATCACTCAGATGAGAACTGGGCACTGCGCTACGCGCAGTTATCTCTACCGACTCGACAACAGAAGGGAACTTTTGTGCCGACAATGTGGACACGAAGAGGAGACAGTAGCCCACTTGGTTGTCACGTGTCCGGACAGTGGGATGGGGGCCGACGGTAGGAATCCGGAGGCCTGCCTTAATGAACTCCTTTACGGAAGCGCCCAGCAGATGAGGCGCGCCGTACGCATCGTGTCAAGGGTCCTAAGAGAGTAATCTCGCACCCTTTTTGAGTATTAACCTTTATAAGTGGCCATAAACAAGCTGTGACGTGGATTGGCATTTCCTCTGTTCACTATTCGTTAGCTCTCATTTTCCTTCTAAGTCTATAGATTCATCCTGTCCACAACATAAAACGAACAATGCCCCTTAACGTTTGAGTGCTATGACATTAACGTTCCGAGAGTGCTTGCATCGACCCCTAGTACCGGGTCATACGTGGTGCTTGAGAGAGTTGATCAGGACAACAACTTTAAAAAACAAAACAAAAAGCACTAGAGTATTTTATTGTCCTCCTCATTAAAGTGACAGAAATGTCAGAGGCTAGTGTCATGTTAAGAATAAAAGAAAACAAAACTTGATTGATGAGGGTATTGACTAAGATAGGACAGAGAGTGAAGACACAGAGAGAGAGAGAGAGGGAGAGAGAGAGGGAGAGGGAGGGTGGGGCAGAGAGAAGGGGCAGAGAGAGGGGGCAGAGAGAGGGGGGCAGAGAGAGAGAGGACAGAGAGAGAGAGGATAGTGAATGGGGGACACAGAAAGGAGGGAGAGAGAAGGGGGACAGAGAGACGGGTGCAGAGAGAGAAAGGGAGAGGGGAGAGAGGGGTAGGGGCAATATTGACAGGGAGGATGGAAAGGAGAGAGACCAAGAAAGAGGCAGGAAGAGAGACCAAGAAAGAGGCAGGAAGAGAGACCAAGAAAGAGGCAGGAAAGGGGTACAAATAAAAGCTATACTCCTTGTTTAAAAGAACGTACTTGATAGTAATAACAACATTCTAAGCCTGTTGGCTACCCTGGACCGTCCTACTCAAGGTTAACTTAAGCCTGGGTAACGTAATAAAAGACCACCGCCACCTTCCACTCGGGCAGCATGTCGTATGCTTAACAGCAGATATTTACAACCCACTTGTCACATAAAAAAATATCATGCTCAGGTCTATGATGATTGGATTTCTTCTTAAGTCATTCAACAAGTTGAATTGACTTGAGCCACGACCACAGACATAAACAACGCTATAAGTCATTCAACAAGTTGAATTGACTTGGGCCATGACCACAGACATAAACAACGCTATAAGTCATTCAACAAGTTGAATTGACTTGAGCCACGACCACAGACATAAACAACGCTATAAGTCATTCAACAAGTTGAATTGACTTGGGCCACGACCACAGACATAAACAATGCTATAAGTCATTCAACAAGTTGAATTGACTTGAGCCACGACCACAGACATAAACAACGCTATAAGTCATTCAACAAGTTGAATTGACTTGGGCCACGACCACAGACATAAACAACGCTATAAGTCATTCAACAAGTTGAATTGACTTGGGCCACGACCACAGACATAAACAACGCTATAAGTCATTCAACAAGTTGAATTGACTTGGGCCACGACCACAGACATAAACAACGCTATAAGTCATTCAACAAGTTGAATTGACTTGGGCCACGACCACAGACATAAACAATGCTATAAGTCATTCAACAAGTTGAATTGACTTGGGCCACGACCACAGACATAAACAACGCTATAAGTCATTCAACAAGTTGAATTGACTTGGGCCACGACCACAGACATAAACAACGCTATAAGTCATTCAACAAGTTGAATTGACTTGGGCCACGACCACAGACATAAACAATGCTAACAGCAATACGCTGTAGATCTACCATTTACTGGCCCTGACCACGTTGAGAGTCATGGGTTTCCCATCTCCTTTAATAATGTAGTGGCAATGTCTTCAACGATCTTCCAGGCGACACCCAATTATCCGTGTTTACAAGCGATGGCGAAGACGTTCAAAAACAGTATTACACGATACCTTGGGCTCTAATCATTATTTGTCTTCTTAAAAAGCCATAAAGCCGGCTGTCTTGAAATGTATTCACACCAAGAATGTGGAGACGACAAAATATTATTCCAACTCCGACATATGACGTCACGATGAAGTCGGAATATACAGCGAACAATAGCAAACAGGTATTAGAGTCTTTTTTAAAAATGTTTTTTGAAAAAAAAAATTAAAATAGCATGGGATATATTTGTACAACACATTCGACTCTACAGCTCTTTCAGTCAGCCCACTCCACACTCGTGACATTAACTAGTACAAGGTAGGAGACTGGCGAATTTCCCAATAAAATGTCACGCAAGTTGCGACTTCCGATAGCCCTAAATGGTTCTGAAAATAGCCTATCAGAACCAGCGTGGAGAAGCCAAGCCCCCCCCCCCCCCCCCCCCCACCCCAATAATCATATTGGTTGACTTCGCAGGACAGGCAATAAATACTTTAGTCCCAACTGAAGTAACTCTGAAGGCATTGTGTTTGGGGTGTGTACAGAAAAGGGACGACTTGTACATAAAAGGGACGACTTGTACATAAAAGGGACATTGTAGGCATACTGCTGTATAAACAGGGAAGTGTATATACATCCCGGAACACCGGCTATTTAATAGCGTGTTGGTTTTAATAAGCACCGGCAATAAGACGCAGGCCTTAGCGACAGAGGCAACACTTGCACAATCTAACTTTGTTTTTTTGTTTTGTTTTTTGTTAGGACATTTCAATTGATGACGCCACAGCTGTGACACCTTTTTCAGACAGCTCTATCCGCTCGGCTGATTCCAAATGTTGTCAAAAAGGCCGACTGATCTCTAACGAATGAATGAAAACGTCAAGGAGGTCCTTTAAATTGAAACAAATATTATATCACGACCAGAGTGGTTATCGTTTCAGGACTCAGCCAAAAATGACGCTTAAGTACACGGGCTGGTGATAACGCCACCAAACCTGTCATTTGTGTGTGCTAGCAATTGTGACAGCCATGCGCTAAGATTTTATAGGAATGTCATACTTCTTGCGTAAGCATCCCCCCCCACCTCTTCCCGTTCAAGCGTGTGGTTATTTTATGTGACGGGAACAGGGTTGACATTCATCAAGTGGCATCTGACTGGAATTTGCAGGTTATTTCCTAGCTTTATATAGTAAAACTAAACAGAATGAGAATTTAAAACTATGACTGTGCAGTAGCGAATCCGGATTCTATTTTAAACACATGCACATTTGCACACGATAATAACGGAGGCCGGGAACAATTTTTTTCGCATCGCGTTGCAATGTAAAACTATAATATGGATCAGTTGCATTAACAGCACACGGTGTGCGGCTATAGTCTCTACTACAAAGCTGAAGTGAGGACCGCCAGTGAGCTGTGATCTTTATATATGATATATATGTACACCAGCTATGAATAATACACGTTCATTAATGCCAGAGTCATACACACTACCATGGATCGTCACAGTTTTAACGTGACATTGGCGTATAACTAAGAATACAAGTGTTCAGATAAAGGATGTTAAACGAAATCCGGTTGCAAAGTATTGCCAATGAGGGTCATGTCCAGAGATGATAATAAGTCTGGAAACTCACCAATTGTCCCACCCCCCTCCTGGTGCAATAAGGACATTAAAGGCGTTCCTCTGCGTTCCTGCAGATTCGTGCTATTTTGTAAACACCGAAAACCTGTTTAAAAACCGGATTTCTAAGACCGAAAACCGGTTTGCAGAAGGGAAAAAACCGCTTAGAACATCCCTAATTGTAAGTACCGAATGTATTAATCTAAAAGCACAACTCTTACTAAATAAATGAAGAAACAATTGAATAACTCGTAAAACAAATTGGGCAATAATGAATTGGATTGACAGCACATTTGATTAATTGAGGACACGTATTTTGCAAGGAATCAAAGGTCAGCACAATAGTGACCTATAAATTATACACTTATTTACTAAGTGAACACTGAAAGGTTCTTGTTACGTACCGCAATGCGTCTTTAAAAGGTTAATGTTTTGAAATGGCTTGTTAACAAATAGTACACAAAGAAGGGACATTGATTGAATATACTAAAGAAAGATCGATACCTCAAATAGTGCTAAAAAGGGCTAAAACTTGATTATGTCGATGGCCTCGGGGTTTAGCCAAAAGGCGTCGAGATAACCGATGATCGAGATAACCGAAAACCAATATGGCGTAAATATACTAACATGTGCTTGAAATTTCTTTATGTACATGATGTGCGTTAATAAATGCAGGTACCTCAGTAAAAAAAAAAATATTATAAACAAAATATTACAGTTTGGGTGTTGCTCACACTAAAGATTTCATGGCTTCACTGAAGTATCATATGGTATCATAAGTAGTTGGTGTCGCGGCGTGCGTTCTGGGCGGTTGGGGCTTTATTTTTTTAATTAAGGTCTTTAGGGAATGTTTGTTGTTGGATGAACATCATTCAAAGCGAGGTTTGTGGGGAAATATATAACAGGCAGACTAAAATGGGCAAATATTGGGGGGAAACTGAACATAACAACTGGTTCCTTTCGATTGGGCCAGTTGTGGGTGCCCCGGGCAAGATCAGATTCAATTGTAGAGCTATAGACAAGACATAAAACTGGCATGAGATCTTTGCGACAAGAGACGTACAGTAAAGTTTAATCGATGGCTGCAGCCGAGAAATAACACGACGCAATGCGACGACAACGGTGTTCAGCAGTGACAGACTGCTTGACACAGTGTGTGCCTGGTCCAGGAGTAAATATTTTCACCTGAAGTAACACACACTGACACACAGGTTAAGTTAACAGACTTTAGTTAAAAACCCTTCCCGGTCAATCCGCTTGAAATACCGGGAGCTAAGCGCAGGTAAACCCTTTGTATGAATAACTGGTGGACAACCGGGCAACTAGTCATAAAAACTTGTACAAACACAATGTTGTGTTCCCAAAACACCCTGCAATATCCATCCCTGTAGCTCGAGTATAGAGTGCATCAATATCCATCCCTGTAGCTCGAGTGTAGAGTTGAATACATGGGCGCCCGCAGAGGGGGGGGGGGCACTTGCCCCCCTGGATTGATTGGATAAATTTTTTTTAGACACAATAGACAAAAAAATTATTAAAGTAAAGAGAAAAATAAAAAGAAAGTAACTAAGCTGATGCTGATCTCGTTTTACTGTGTCCTGTCTGTTCGTACACCATATAAATACGCTACAGTAAATTAAAACTACATTAAAACATTACTAAAAAAATTTTGCCCCCCCCCCCCCCAGAAAGTTAATCGATTTTTTTTCTGCGGGCGCCCATGTTTGAATATATGGATCTTGGTCAATCGATAAAGAAAATTCAAATAAAAATGTACAGTATGTTTGATATATTAAAGCCAGTAGTAGTCAATAGTAAAGTTATTCGGAAAAAGCTTTGCGGGCGATCGAGTTTTCCGGTTACAGAGTTTGCAATCATTAAAACTGTACGGTATTTCTTTGAATATCAAAGTGAAAGACTTGTCACTTTTTATGCAGGATTTATTCAGACACCTGTACGCTACAGCTTTATTTTGCTAACAGACTTTTTTTTTTTAAAGTCCACGACAGATTGTCTGTGGAATTCCGACTTCGGTGGTTGAGATTGTTTCTGTTCTTCCCAGGGTTCACCTGCTCGCTTAGATTCCAAGAATATCTATCTTAATTGACTAATGAGCTCATCGCGCCGGGCTATTTACCCCCCCCCCCCCCCCCCTGTGTTATCACTACGGACTATTCGTTACCAGCCAACCCCTGGCCAACGGGCACACAAAGCTACTACCATTGTGTCACAGGACCAGTTCAACGGTGGGAATGAACTTAACGCTGCTTCCAGAAGTTGCAATCCACCAAAAACACGTGGCCAGTCGGTGCAGTCATCCAACTGCCACTGCATTTACTTTTTATTTTACAAAAAATGCACAACTTTTTTTCTTCAATATGCAAATGAATGCAAGCCTTATCTAAGACGGCGCTTTTGTTAGTGAATCATTGAGTATGTCTATAGAGATAAGGACAAGTCAAATACTGTTTCTTTAATAATAATTTTAAAAATTCGTTCCAGAATTTAAAACGAGTTAACGCAGAGTGTAGACTTAATTTACGGAACGCAACGCAATTGATTTCAAATAAAACCCCAATAGAAATCGGCTCCTAGAACTCCATTAAAACATGACTTGCAATTACTACACTTATTGGGTATCCCAGGAATTCTTGGAGAACGAGAACTCCATGGAACATAATTGTTCCTCTTTTCATTTCCGATTTTCAATGAAATGAATGCGGTGACTGAAAGGTCGAAGTAATTTGACTCAGCTGCCATAAAAACGTGTGACAAAGCACACATGTCATCGAAACTCACACAGAATGAAATTGGGTTAAAAAATTGTTTCTCCAATGGCGCATTATAGAAAGCTAATTTTTGTTGTGTTAGAACGGCCGAATCAAAACTTTAATCTGTAGCGTTTAGAGAAACGTTTACAACAACGTCTCGTGACGTGTAACCTATTGGTTACATTTCTATTGTGGATGACAATGGGTTTGAGTATGCGATCATAATTATTTATTCTTATAGAAATCATAGTTCTACCAAAACTGTCCTCCTACAACACACCAGCTAAAGTATTGGTACACCATTATAGTTTATAGAGACAGAAACTACAAGCTTTATCTCAGGTTAAACCCCACACAGTGACTCTCCCTGTGCATGGACCATAATTGACCTCAGATAACTTCACCCAGCTAAACGACGGACATCGGAACAAGACATTGAAAGGAGTGGGTCGTTATCTTGTCCACGTCATTTTTTTTTCCTCTAACAATATTGACAAAATCGATGCCTAACGTTCAACTGGCCTAGCAGACAAGATTGAGTGACCCCCCCCCCCACCCCACCCACCAAGCTTCTCGTGTATTTCTCGTCTCTTGAGCCCATCTCTAGAGCTGTATCTGTCAGTAGGCAGTCTGTTTTATCTTCCACGGCCGCCCTTTCAACAAGTCTCTTCACTCTATTATTTCTCTCACAGGACACTGATTCATATGGTACAATGCTCAATGAGGGCCAATAATTTGATTGGGGACCGGCCAGTCTGGCCCAGTGCAATTCGGCCGGCATGCAAAAAGTGTTAACTTTAGATGAAGCATTGACCACGCCCAGAACAACATTTCTTGCAAAGATGTGTTTCAAAAGTATGAAAAAGCTAGACCTATGTCGTGACACAGGTTTACGTCAAACATATTCAACATCACCATCCCTTTGGAAACCCCCTTGTTATTGTTAAGTTTTAACTACTGATGTTCGTGTATCACATTAGTTTGGAGAACGGTACCAACCAACTCTAGCGTTACTGACCACTGTACACCTTTGCCGAGGTATATTGAGTTAACGTAACAAAAAGCAGTAAATGGACAGTGTGGCGATACAGCCGTCCATCGTCCAAAGGGAAACAAAAAAAGAAAAAAAGAAAGAAAGCCTGTTCTCGTAGAGGCTTTCATCAGACAGCGATAGGCCTTCATGATAATCATTCAGACCGGCAGATACAAGGAGGCGGTAGACAGTGGTTAGAGAGTTTCCGGGGATCGATAGAGAGAAAGATCTACTTTCTACACGACCTTAAGCCAAAGATAGAGTTCTGAACTAATGACATTTTAAGAGAAAGGCTCAACAAAGCAGCTAACAAACGCTCATAACCAGCAAAGATGTATTCCTTCGCACGGCCAATAGATTCCAAAACGGTCAAGTCTGAATTGCGTGAAACACATCGGTAGTCTGCAAACCCTTTTTCCTTTACAAAGATTTATGAGGAACCCATTATGGTTAACTGTATGGTCGTGTTTTCCCTCCAGTGACAGTATTTCATGTCAATATTTTTCGATTCCGGTGGTGATTAAAATTCGGTCTCCTTTGGCCAAGAAGCGCCGAATCTCACAATAAAAGATAGAAGGCGGCTGTTTTTAGATTAGAAATCGATAAGAATCCAAGACTGAGCCGAGTACTGTACAGAAATGTCTTCATCAAATTTTGGTAACTATTTAAAACACACGACTCTGATATGAGCGCTAAATTATAGACGTATTTTATCAAGTTTGTCAAAACATTCACAACGGCTATAATGTCAAGATGATGAATCTTAATTATAATAAGAAAATAACTTTACAAAAAAATCTGAGCATGATATAGATATCATCGATATAGCTTAAATCTAATAAATTCAATGGAGTTTCGTAATCATAAATGATTTTTAAAAAGTATGACCCCAACAACTAGTTGCTACTATTGGCTATTATAGCATTTTATAGAAACGATCAAACTATCATGAACGAAATAGGTGGGTTTAATTTGGCTATAGATATGAAGATTTTTTTTTTTTAAATGTGAGTGGAGGGGAGCATGAGGAAGGCCTCAAAAAAAAAAAAACTAATAATTTCACCATGTCCAACAGGAAGTGCGATCAAAGCACTAATCGCCTTACAACACCCGTATCCCCAGTCTCATCGTTAGTACATTCTCTACGGCGGCGTACTGTAATCCCTTCTCAAAATGACCAACACTCTATATTAGGGCGTCTTTTTCTGGCTTACATCAAGACTCTTTTATTGACGGCTCACTTTTAACCAAAGAAGACTAATGTTGTATGAAAGAATGTGCGTTGCCATGGATCATGCAGATCATTCAACATCGATGGATATCGTCAGCAAAGGACAAGCTTTTTAACGTGTACATGATCGCACGGTTGAGACGATAGTCGAGCAAGTTATTTCATATCAACTACACTTGCTCTCATTGGGGTTGGCACGTAATGGGCATTTAAATCGATTAGCCACATTGGCAGCGCCGCAAATAAAAGGGTGGTTAGGGTGAAAGGATGCGTGAACCGGTCTAAGTGCGACCAACTCGAGCAGAAGCACAGTTTATGAGAATTCAATGATAAAGTGAGCTCGGACGCGGCGAGAGGTTTCCCCGTCTTACAATACAAGTAAACCCAAGTCCCCTTGCTGGCACTTAAGAACGTTGACTCAACTGAAGTTCTCTATCTTTACGCGAGAGGAGATCGGAGGTTATTTAGAGCGCAAACACTAAGTGAAAATAATAGGACCCTAGTAATGGAAGACCATGGGGACGAAAACATCTTCATGGCGACTGAGACTTCTAAAATGGCTGTCCGGGAGAGCGTTGGACCCGGCTAGTCTCAGTTGTAGTTGTCTATTCTTTGGGTATTTTAAATAATTAAAGTTTATTTTTCATACACATATACTCCTATATAATCTAAATAAAAATCCCATCTTGCAGTCATGTATTTCCAAGAGTCAACTTAATTCATTTGACATGTACTTTGATGAAAAAACTAAAACCCAACAAGGCGGTTATTTGTAAGTGCTGTCAATTGTGTAATGCATGTAACTAGGACCTGGTTGACATTTCAGACTTCAATGTTAGACATTCGGTCTTAATATGTATTCATAGGCAAAACCAGTCAACGATCCAATTCATATTATCTTAAGACAGCTTTTATTTTTTATTTATCAGGTCTTAAATTCATAAACCGAGTTTGTCATAGCATAATAATAATTAAAGTTTGAAAACGTGACTTAATGTCCCTAACACCCCACTCCACCAACCCAACTTGCGGCTTTACATAATTCAGGTCAGATAAGATTACCTAACATGTTTTGAACACATTCAATGCAGTCCCAGGTCGGTAAATGTGTGGCCTAAAGAGAAATCAATTATATTTTTAGCTCTATTATAAACATCTTAGGAGGTGGCTTTTATCTCTTTGTAGGGTAGGGGCTGTCAAAGCTTTTTTTTAATGACACTATAGGAGGTAATGTAATTTTGACGCAATGCTAAGTAGTTTTTAATGTACATAATATTCTGATACCAGAAACATTATTTTTATAGTAATCAGTGAAATATCCTCATCAACAACAGGCACAGAAAGACTGCAAATCCCCTCTACATGCATAGGAGCCAAAATGATCAATAAATTGATCGTGGGCCCTTAATATATAGAAGAAGAAATGGTGATGTAACAATGTGGGTTGGTAAATGCAGCTAAAAGTTTCATCCTTAAACAAAAGTCACAGTACATATATATTAGTAGATATAGGATCTAGGAGGTATGATGCTAAATCCAGAAATAGGTTAAGGTGATATGCTTTGCATATAAAGTAATAAGATAGTACAAACATTTTCATCCAACATCTAACAAGAACCCATCTGTTATATTGAAATAGATTTTACAAGATTGTAGAATTAAATGAATTCAAAACAAACGTTCTTTTTGTTTCAGTGGGAATTATTGACTATAAACTTCTGATGGAGACATTAATTTAGTTTATTTATACCACACTATTTGAAGAGAGATAACTGAACTAGCTAGAATAATATTTTAATAAAGATTTAAAATTGAGAAGTAGTAAAAAAAGTTCATCTTTTAAAATAATTGTGTCAAAAGTAATATGTGAGTAAACAGCTTGCAAAGAGCAACTTTTTTCATACATTAACATCGATTGCAAAGCATTGGCACATAGCAAATAAACTGCTCCCTTCACTTTTGAAATGCTTAATTTTAAAGTAATAAAAAAAAAAACTGTATGAAATCATATTTAAAATAAAGCATTCCAACTGTTTTACAGCTATACATAAACTTTAGAATATTCTTCTTAGTTACGGCACATAAATAAATATACACTAAACCAACAAATAAAGACAGAAATAAATGTACTCACAAGAAAAGAAAAAAAAGCCCAAAACCATAGAATCCATGATATTATATGCAGAACTTTTTTTTAAAAATTGTATCTTTTTATATACAGATACACATTACTAAGTATAGAGGAAGTTTGAACCAATTTTCTTTTTCACCCATTCGTCACCAATATTTCAACCAAAACCACAACAAAAAAGTATTTAGTCCCTAAGTCAGGGGTAACCAAACTACGGCCCGGTGGTCGGATCCGGCCCGCCAGTCGGATGCAGCCCGCCGACGGTACTTAACTTGCTTGATAAAACGTTTTGACAAAATTCAAATTTAAATATTTTGTTAGAATACTAGGAGATCTTCATACAAGCGGAAACCTCCTGGCTGTAATGCAACCTTAATTTACCCTTATCAATTTTAAATTATTATACCTATATTTTCTTGTTTATTGCAGACTTGTTTACCTTCGAACTCCTAAAATCTTTGTTTTGCAGACGTGTATTGATATTAATTTATATTGAGCGGACGTTCAAAGCACATTATCACAGTCTATCACTGATCAAAATAAAGTTTTTGGTGAAATTTAATGTGGTTCAAACTATTAGTGGTTTTTTGTTTGTTTTTGTTTCTTATAATGTAATAATTTTTTTAATGTCAGTGTTTGTTATTTGGGTAGTAACTACACCATAAGAGACATAAAATCCAAATGTGATAACGATAGCTGGTTATGAAATTCATGAGCAAAAAGAAAAACACATTTCAATGACAAGTGACCTTAGATGAAAATGTTAATATCTATAAAATATATGCTAGTAGATACACTCTGTAGGGCTAAATAAAAATGTGTCTAATTTGGGCCATACTACTATCAGGGGGTTGTGATGTCTGTGTGATCCTTGGTTCAGCTCCCCCTTCAGAATAAACATATAAATAAGCTATGTGAAGTGAACTGAAAATCCTGCTTCCTGGGGCAGATTTTCTTTCTGTCCATTATTCCTACATATATGCCTACTTGTACTATTATTTTTATCTTCATTATTATCATTGACTAGACATATTTAGGCAATATTATAGGCATGGCATTTTATTCATATATATGATTACGATAGGCCTATACTGCTATACTTTAGCATTAGTAGTAGCATTAGTAGTCTATATAAGAGGCATAGCTAAAGTAGAGTTTGGCGCCCTGAGACAAGATTCATTTCAAAGAGCCCCCCTTTCTTTTGTCAACTCTCAAACCCAAAATTTTCATCAATATAATATCAAAGCACATTTTGGCAGCCCAAATAGTCTAGCACCTAGGGACATCTTTCCCCCCTTAGCTACATCTCTGGTCTATATACAGTGGTACCTCACTATACGTATGCTTTCGAATAAGTCCAACTTGGTATACGTCCTACCTGGTATACGCCCTGTTTGGACGAGAAACATTTTGATTGGTATAAGACCTTAGTTTGGAATACGACCTGCGTGTGTGCTAGAACTTGTATGTGTCAAAATGACACATTGCGCAAAGACTAGGATGGATGCACTCTCTTCAGGCTCTGAGGAGGTACAGATAGAGGAAGCTCCTACTTCATTAATCAAGGAAATCTTTGCTAATGGGATGGATGTCAAAAACTTTGCAGAGAAGTACCACCCCCAACAAAGCCCAAACAAGTTGTAATTAGGGGTGTGCCGGATCCATTTTTTCCAACCGGATCCGGATTTTCTTATGCGAAATCCGCCGGATCCGGATTCGGATTCCGGATTTTGGTACTATTGGTAGATACTTAGGTAAGTCAAGGTAGACTACTACTTTTTGTGTATGGGAATTCGCAATCGGCGCTAAAAAATCCGAGTTTTTAATTTTCCGATGTGTGTGTCTATTTATTATTAAATTAGTACTTTCAATATATATTTGAGTTCCGTTCCATTTGGATAAGTGTCTTACAAGAGACGCCATGTTTCTACGCGTTCGCAGCAGGTCATGCAGCTCGCTCAACCTAATTTCGCCATGGGGTTGGCCACGCCCCCCTTTTTAGTGGCGGAAGTTGCCGATACTTAGGAAATAGTGCAAAATCCGGCGGAACCGGATTCCGGACCTGATTCCGGCACACCCCTAGTTGTAATAGCATTGTCGGGAATGGCCAGACAATGTCACATTTTCAAAACATCCTGAGGAGAAGGCAAAAGCAAAGCTCTTTAGACAGATTTTTAGTAAAAGTCAAATCTGGTGAGCCTCAACCCGAGTACTCTAGGGAAAAGAGACAGAAAAAATAAAAAACAACAGAATGTCATATTCCTGAAGTTTTATTGGAAGTGGACTCTCCTTCAAAACAATAATATCTCCTCCTCCTCAGCACCATTTTAATATTAGTAAGCACTTGACTTTTCTCACCAAGGTAAAGTGAGGTTAAATTTTAATTTATTTCACCTAAGTTCTTATTTATTTATTTATTTTAGTATTAAGCAGTGTTAAATTAATTAATTTATACTAGGGGTGTGCCGGAATCCGGTCCGGAATCCGGTTCCACCGGATTTTGCACTATCCGGTGAAATCCGGTTCCGCCGGATTTACATGTATCAGGAACAACCGGAATCCGGAATATACCGGATTTCGGAATTTGCCAGATTTTGTGATTCACCGGATCATAATCTGAAATAAAAGTAATTCTCTTTCCCGAATTCCACACGATCACGATACATTAATCGATTGTTTCGAGCGTTGAGCTTGTTTAATGTTTAATATTCCGAACATACCAGAGGCTAGAGTCAGCACCGCTAATAGTGGCCAATAGTGTAGGGACTTTGATAAGAAAATTTAAACTTTTTGTAAAAATAAACCAATGGCATAGTTGAAAAGATGTAATTTTTTAAAGAATTATAACACCAAAATCATATTTTTAGCTGTTGTAGTTTTAAAGTTATGAATTTTTAAAGTACGACTTGGTTTGTCATTTTTTAACATGGACTGCATCTCCACATTCTGTGATCTCATTCCGCCAATCCCGTCATGCGCAATGACTATATAGTTTATATAAGGCAACGCATTCCCTGCCTTATCACTAAAATACTGTTTAGACTTAGTTTAAACTTTCAACTTTGGCACATGAATAATTAATTAAAGCTTTCCCTGACCAATGGTTTAATAGTTTTTGCACACGGCAAACTCTTATGAATGAAACTCTGAGGTAGTACTACGATACAGTTATGCAAGTGGCTGTGAATGGTTGCCAATGACAACGTGTTGCACACGGTAAATTCTGATCATTTATAATATGGATTCTACCGGGTTGTTAAAGCTCAAATTAAAACATTCCAGTTTAAATGTCTTTAAAATGCATTCTGAAACACAAGTTATCAATTATTTTGATGTAAATAGTGATAATAAATTAATATTTCCTAAGTATCGGCAACTTCCGCCATTAAAAAGGGGGCGTGGCCAACCCCATGGCGAACGCGTAGAAACATGGCGTCTCTCGTAAGACACTTATCCAAATGGAACGGAACTCAAATATATATCGAAAGTACTAATTTAATAATAAATAGACACACACATCGGAAAATTAAAAACTCTGATTTTTTGGCGCCGATTGCGAATTCCCATACACAAAAAGTAGTAGTCTACCTTGACTTACCGAAGTATCTACCAATAGTACCAAAATCCGGAATCCGGGACAAACCGGAATCCGGATCCGGCGGATTTCGCATAAGAAAATCCGGATCCGGTTGGAAAAAACGGATCCGGCACACCCCTAATTTATACAACCACGTCAATAAATCTATAATATGCCAATAATAATATGATTTTTTTCCATGGGAACGGATTTATCATTTTCCATTTATTTCTTATGGCATTATGGGAAAAATATGTTTGATATATGTCCAGTTTGGTATAAGTCCAAGGATCTGGAACAGATAAAGGACGTATACCGAGGTACCACTGCGATATTTTATATAATAGTTAATAATAGTAATAATAAGACAGCCATATTGATTATCATATTCATATTATTCACCATGCCATATCACATCACAAGGATATAGGCATTATAGGATAGGCCCAACTTAGAGAACTACAATAATAACTGACTAGTCTGACTAGTGAATTAAATAAAGTAGTAAATTACACTACACTAGCCTAGTCACTATAATATAACTTTGGACTTACTTTGCTTAGACTATTACTAATAGTATTACTCCTGATTAAATAGGACCTAAATAAGTTTTTTTTAAATTTTAATGCTTGTATTTTGCTTCACCCTGCTAGCTAGACTTATTTAAATTTAATTTAAATACTAAAAATAAAAAGGAAAAATTTTATTTTTTAAAACTGACATTAAAATGCCCTTGAGAATTAAGATAGTCTTATTTGTTTTCAAATGTATCCATAAAAACCACAAAATACCTCCTAATATTGCATAAAACTACAGAAAAGTGGTAATAAGGAAAGTCGCGAAAAAAGCTAGTAATCGCGACTTAACGCAACCATGGGAAAGACTGGACAGGACAGAGTTGAAACCGAGGTATATTCTCAAAATTCATACTGAAAGCTCAACCATTATATAATTTGTATTATTCAAACATTAAATTGTTTCAATAATTCGATTTTACTTACTTTTTGGTGATGCCGACGAGAAAGAAATCAGAAATAACAAAAATTCCAACCCTAGAAATGTGGTAGCTAAGACGTTAACCGCCATGTTTATCCTCCAGTTTATTTACCTCAGCGATCTCGTCAAATCTCGAGGCTATGAGCTTGATAACAGAACTTGTAAGTGTAACTGCCAAAATGGAGAGCAGTAAAAAGGTACAGCTTAGTTTAGTAGGCCTACCTTATTGGGATTAAAAATAACAACTCATTAAAACAAAAATAATAAATTGACATTTTTTATGAACTCGTTGTGCATAGTTTTCTTTTTATTAATACATTTTTTAATGAGTTAGTCATTTTTAATTATTTATCAGTAATAAATTACTATTAATATTACCCCCCAACCCCCCCCCCCAAAAAAAAAAACAACCACTCACACACTCGACACAGATACACACAGTCACAGAGACAGACGGACAAACCCACACATTTTTAAAAGACTAAATTTATTTTGGGCTTGAATAAATTGAATTACAGAAAACAATAAAAATTGTAACATTGTGTACCAATCTTTAATATTATCCAAGGAAAATTGGCAATTTTCAATGTGAACATAAAAGAAATAGCTTTTGATTAGTTTTATAATTAGTATAATTAGACCTGCAATTGAGGGGGGCAACGCAAAGCTTCCTTTAATAATTAATTTTAAAAGCGAAGAAATCTCTAATTTTAAAAGTCTTTAAAGCATCTGAATATGGTTGAATTCTTCAATTTTTATAGCAAATATTTTAGAGTTACGCTTTTGCTCCTCTCCGGGTAATAATTAATGGAGCTCCGGGTACTTTTTAGGCTACAGAAGGGGAGGGTAAAGGGCGGGTATAAATGGGATGAGGTGAAGAGTGGATGGGTAGGTTAAGTGGACAGATGGATAGGTTGGACTTGGAGAAAAAATATAATGCTATTATGATGCTATGATTGTCATTTATGCAGCTCAAATGTAGAAAAGGCATCTAGGAAAATTATATATTGTTACTGGATTGTTACTACTGTTAGTGTTATCCAATAAGTTAAAGCAGTTACTGTTACTGAAGTAGACTTTGCGTAACCAAAATGGATCGTTCTTTTAAATAGTGTGTAGTGTTAGTAGGTTATTAGATACAAGAGTGAAGAACACTGCACACAATTTAAAAAAGAAAAAAAGAAGGACATTTTGAGGTTAAATATGACAAACGTCTGGCAGCCCTGCCCAAGTTAGGCTTAGCGCTTCTCTATTACTCTGACTCAGACTATGAGGGCCGCTATCACAGAGCTTTAAACTTAAATAAATCTCTGTCTATGGCCTATGGCCTATGACTATACTAGGCCGCTACTAGTACTTAGTACTAGCGCACTTTATAAAATATTTATAATTTATGTCTTTCTATTATATGTCTTATCATCACAATATCTTAACATATTTATTTTTACAATTTGCATCTATATTTAGAGTTACTTAGTTGATAATTTTAATAAACATTTTTTAAAATTAATTTTCGATTTTAAAAAGATCATTAAATTTTTAAATTATGTGTTGCTGAAATGCTATTTCCACAATTGTGGTTTGAAATAGAAAAAAGTTATTAATAGCAAGTAAACACTGTAACGATTGGCCGAATTTCAAAGAAAATGATTGGTTTGTTTAACCGGAAAAACACATTTACTCTAAATACAAAATCTCTAAATCTAAAGTAATAAGGAAAAATTCATGTGTAGTAGGTAATGATTGTATTTATTTACCACTATTTTGGACTTTTTCAAAGTAATATGTTATCAACATAAAAGGTTTGATTTACTTCAGCAGACAGGCTTATCATAATAATTGATGTTATTAATATAATTATTATGATCTAAATTAGACAAAAAAGTTACTCTATGCCACCGCGTCATTAATGATAGTCTAAGTCCAAGCCGTAGACTGACTAGACTTAGACGGCTTAGATTACTAACTTAGCTTAAGATCAGGGGTCTCCAAACTGTTCAGACCGAGGGCCGCATTAACTATCAAACAGTATTTTGCGGGCCGATTGCACACTCGAGCAGGGTTTCTTTCAGTTTCAGCATTATCTAAAGGGGGGGGGGGGGGGGGGGGGGGGGGGGGGGCGGGCCCCCCCCCCGGGGGAGGGCCAGGGGGCCCCCCCCCCCCGAAAAAAGGCCTTTAAGAGGTGTATAGACCTAGTGTTATGTTCATGTCTTCAACAACACTCCTAACAAACACAAGCATTTGAGAGGTGAAACAACTGTGCAGCGATTCATCCATTGCAAATAAAAATTTGTTGAAACTTGCTTTCATTTTTAGATATTTGAGTCACAATGTTTTTATCCATGTCTGAAACACGGCGGGCAAAGCCCCGCCACTAGATGGCGTTATATCATCGCATTTCATTGACTGTGAACGAAAGTAGAAAAACTAAGCATCGAATAAGGTTTTGCAAAGTAATGATCGGTTAGAAAACATAACGCACTACTGCGCGCCTCTATTTTAATTCGGTAAAAGCATAACGCCTACGTAAGCAGCGTCTTATCTTGTCAGGATACATGTACATTTGCATAATTTTTTATTCTGTTGACAAAAGGTCTCCAAGGGCCGCATGAGAGAGCCTCGCGGGCCGCATGAGAGAGCCTCGTGGGCCGTAGTTTGGAGACCCCTGCTTTATATTATTAGACATTACATTAATAATTTAATATATAGTAGTTATATATACGTTATTTAATATAGTTCTTCTTAGCGTAGGCTCTTAATGCCAATGCGGCATAGAATAACTTCTTAGACGAATTAAAAACATTATAATTATGACTAAAGGTATTAGTATTATACATTATTCATTATTATTATCCAAGTACCAGTATCGATTAAAATTAAGGCTAAGGAGAATGATTAGAGTGAATGAAGAATGGAATGACAGACTTGACATGACAAGTTAGTCAGGCTAAACTCTAATCCTCTCACTTTTCTTATTCAACTAATTAATAATACTAGTAATAATAATAAAGTAAAAGCTTAAACTCACTTGACATATACTTCATATAGACTAATTAAAATTACTAATATAGTCTATAGTCATAATATATAGTTCATACTATGAACTAGTCATCATAGTCTTAGGAATAATTGTTAATGATAGCTGTCTTCAGCAGAGTCTTCATCATCTAGATCAAGATTCAATGGCATCTTCATGAAACTGATAGTCAATGATATGTCTTTGATTTGACTAGCATTTTGCATTGCGATAGTGATAGAATATCATTGATTTGACTAGCATGGCATTATCATAAGCAGCTGTACTGTTCAGTTGTCGAAACCCTAAGGCTAAGGCTATGTTGTATTTTTCTTAAATGAATATCATTGAAAAGTAATTTTATTTGTATATAAGGAGATAATATAATGTCTTAGGAAATGTAAATCTTCAGAAAGATATACAAGCTTATGCAGGATAATTATGGACCAATCAATAAATATACCACATGTAATTGTAAAGCATTTACCATAGTCACTGCATTTAAAAAAGGCAAGTTGTCCAGGACTCATGAGGATGTCAGATTATAAGAGAGCGGGATGTCAGAATATAGAAGAGAAAATACAGAAACCAAAGGAACGACAGAGACTGTTATGGATAAATGATGTGGAGTCCAATATACATCATCAGAGAGGTCCTTGCATGCAGAAAAAAGATAATGAATCTGTCAGAGTGAAAGGATGTGGTGATGAAGGACAGATCACTCAAAATGATGCAGCGCAATTGATGATAAATCAATGTCTCTTATTATTAGCATTTCTTTATGACATAGATTACTGTATCATTAACTATAACTCTTCTCATAAATGACATTAAAAATAATTGATGCTTTTTTTTTATATATCTTTTAAGGTTTACAGTATATTTTGAAATAAAGCATACAGTTTATAATGTCAGTATCATCCCATAAAAGGTAACAACTCAAGATTATGATACAAATAATAAAATTTAGATGTGAAAATTGTAATTATTAAACTGAGTTTTTAATTTTTTTAATTGTCCAGACCTGTTTACCCTCAAACTCTTAAACTTGTACAATATCATCACAAAATCGTTAATTACATTATCTTAACAGTAAAAATAATAAACATACTGTATATATATTGTACACACCTAAAAATAGTATATTGTACGCCAAAATCGTAAGAGTAAACAGGTCTAATTGTTAAATTTCACTTTTGAGGGAATGACCTAAAATATATCCTCTCAAAATTCAAATTGTCATTTTTCTTTGACCCAAATAACTAAAGCTTTCCCGTGACCATTAAAATGGTGTATGGAATATTTACCTCAGTAAAAGTGATTTAGTTGTAGACTATGAATCTATATCAGCAATCCTCAAACGTTGCCGGTCACCACAAAATTTATTATTTTCTATTAAATTGAAAATATAATTAATAAATCTGGTGAATACGTGGTGCAATTTCCAAACTTGTCCACCGATGCGCCAAACTTAGATGTTAGGTTTTCTATAATAGAAAATGTGCAGAAAAATGTTATAAGCAAAATTTTTGTATTTTAAAATCATTTTTTCCAACATTTGATACACAGTTTTAAGTAAATAACGATGAAATTCTACTTTATTTTTACTCATTTTGTTGATTTAAATATTGACAGATTGCTATTTTACAGCAAAATTCCTGTATTTCAAGGGATTCAAACAAAGAAGCCAACAGAGGTCCAAAAGAGGCAGGATGCATCTGTTCATCCCAACTTTACATCAGATTTAAATAAAAGGTTGCAATGATTAAATATTTTAATTAAATTTATTAAAATTTCAGCTCAGGCACCATCTGTTTTAATGTTTGTGCATTTTTAAAAGATGAAACTGAAATTCTTTTAATGTAAAAGCTTACAAGGGCAAGCATATTATTAGTAGTACTGTCACAAAAGATTTTCAGAGTTAATATTTTTTTATTAATAAATGTAAAAAAAATTGGATAAAACAACTAAATCTACTTTTATTTGACATTTTATTCTTTTACTAAAATTAATACAGACTGACATTTTTTAGCTAGACATTTATTTTTTTTTCTAAAGAAGCTAGTCATATTTTAAAATTTCGTTAACTATTTGGGATAAGGATCATTTACAGAAAAAAGATTGCCCTTTCAATAATTTATTATGTATGAAACATTTTCAGATCAGATTATGCCAAACCCAAATTGACAGAGTCAAAATTTACCAAGCCAGAAGATAAATCTGTCCAATTAAGAGTGAGATCAGGCCAACCTGTTTTTAAATCGAACACGAAAGAGGTTCAAAAGGTCAAACCCGTAATAAAATCTGCCCCAATAAGATTTAAAGAAGTAAAATCTTTACTAATACAACACACTGAAGATAAAAATGCAGAAACAAAGGTTAAATCATCTCACAGTGAAGGGAAATCTGCCCGTTCTAGGTATAAACCACCACTTATTGAAGTCAAACAAGAAAATTCAAAGATTAAATCACCACTAATTAAATATACCCATTCAAGGATTAAATCATCACTCAATGGAGTTAAACCTTCCAATACAAGAGTTAAACCACCACTTACTGAATTTAAACCTGCCCAAACTAGAGTTAAATCACCACTCACTGAAGTTAAATCATCCGTTACCCAAGTCAAATCACCACCCACTGAAGTTAAATCATCTGTTGCCCAAGTCAAATCAACACTCACTGAAGTTAAATCATCTGTTGCCCAAGTCAAATCACCACTCATTGAAGCTAAATCACCCCTTGCCGAAGTTAAATCACCGCTGACTGAAGCTAAGTTACCACAAAGTAATATCAACTCTATACAAACAAATGTCATAGATTCCATGGGAGTAAAGCAAGATGATCAAGGTATTTACTATAGTAGTATTAAAATATAAAAACAATTGCCCTTTGTCTTGCAGTGGATTTTAGCATTATGTTAGTTTTAGTTAATGTTATAAAGTTATCTTTAACCAAAAATGCCAACCATAAAAAAAAAAAAAGGTAAAAAATTTTTTTAAAAGCCCAAAGATTCCATTGAATTTCATCCTAGTTATTTCCTTGTCTTATTGTGTGTTTCAGATATACAGTTTGAGCCTGATCAAAAAGCTCTTGAAAGTATCCTTAATAATCAAGGCATAATACCAGACTTCAAGACAACAACACCCAAAGCAATGGTATAAATGTATAGCTTGGAATTAGGAATATTTTTATTTGAGATTTGGATAATAACTGAAGCTCACTTTACAGATCATTTTGTTACAGATGAAAGTTTATCATTGTAAAATATCATACATTTTTATAGCCCTTAACCCCTTATTTACCAAAGCAAAAACGTTTCTGATTTCCATTTACAAATTACAGTCTTGCTCAAATCTCATCTTTTAAAAAAAAAATTATGTAAAAAAATGGAATGGAATTTTTGTATTCAATATTAAAAGCATTTTCCCTTTTTTTGCTGTGCTTGCTATAATTTAAACTAAATTGAGAAATTTAATGACGATTCATATCCTATTTAAAACCTTCGGATACAGACATCCAAAATGTCTAGCTGAAAAAGTGCTCTCAAATCTCTTTTGGGAATTTATTTCTAATAATTCTCTTTATTTTGTTTTTATGAGATAAATTTGATAATTCTTTTGATTTTGCAGAGTTATAGATTGGAATGCATATGTTACAATGACTTTTGTTTAAAGTTGACCTCACAAAAATCATAATTTAGCATGCCTGAATTTATATATGACAAAGAAATTGAACAGATAAAATGTAAAATTTGCTGTAGCTGAAAAGGGTTGGCTTTAAAATTTTAAAAATTTTGTTTATTCATATTGTCATTATTTTCCTGGTATTAACTGGTCTATAATTTATTAAACTCATTCAGTGCCACTCTTTAAATTTTAGTCAGGGCAAGTTACATCTGGTATCACTCCAATTGCTGCCAATCGAATGTCCATGTGGGATTCATACAAGGAGTTCAAAATTAATTTGCAAAAACACAAAGAAATGTTACAGCATTTAAATATTGGTAAGTAGTCCAAATCGCAAACCAGTACTTTTGTTAAATATGACACCATGATATATCTAACACTTGAAAAATTCTATCCATTCAAAAAAAAGTATTTGTTCGGGATATTTCTCTTATTTTACCCTGATCATGTAAAGAATGAACAATTCTTAAGAAAGTGTTAAAAAGAGAGTAAGGAAACAAAAGTTGACTTGCTGCTTTCAAAATGCACTTCAAAGAGTATATCCTATGCCTGCCATGGACAATAGGAGAAAAAAACTTTGAAAACACTTTTAAGAGGGCATCAGACAAGGGTCTGTGACAATCAGTTGTTGCAAAATGCATTAAACCAGTTTTAAATGAATTAAGAATAAGTTTATTTGTTATGACTATAATTAAATTTTTTGTTCAGTGATGTTATATAAATAATATAAATAACCATTTACATAAAACACTTAAAGGCATTATATTATTATGGGATAAATTATCTAATAAATATTTTAAGTCCTAGTACTTAAAAATCCATTTTTTTTCTTCTTCAAATGTTTTATAAAAATTTTAAAAATAAATGCTTTCACTCATTAGAACCTTCATTTGAACCTGATTCCAAAGCTTTAAGTACTATTCTAAATGGTCAAGGCATATCTTCAACTACAACAGGGGTTAGTATTGACTCATATATACATTTTTATATTAATTAATTTTATGCCAGTTGTATTTACTTAAGTACCATAAGTACATTGGAAAAGTAAATTAATAAGAAATGAACAACCTAAATTTGATCAGAGCTTTGACAAAACCTAGATAAATTTCTTTCATTATCCTTGGCAAGATCTAATTTACTGACCCAGACTGATTAAGAAGATGGTCATCTAAAATATTCAATGCTTTTCTGTAGAAATCTTGTCACATTCTTACACTTCTTGTGATGTTTTTAGAACTGTCTTTTTATGTTTTAGATGTGCAATCGCTCATCCATGTACACTTCATCCAGTCGCACAATGATGCAGTCATACCTGGACCATAAAGAAAACATAAAACTTTTTAAAGAAACACTACAACAAGTAGAAAAAGGTGAGGCTGCTAAATATTATAATTTTTTTTTTTTTTACAATTAACTTCCTATAATGTTGTTAAATCTTGGTAATTTGTAACAAATTAGGTGGTAAGAAAAATAACTTTGATTTCTTGATCGTTATCCTGCAATGTCAGGAATTTCATATCAATGATGGTCAGAAAGAAGTTAAGGAATACTTTATCTACTCTTGGTTAATTCATATTTTTATTAGGGCTTATGTTAAATGACAATTATTTACATTAGGGTTTCCCAACCTGAGCATTTCGGAAAGAGGGGTGGGGGGAAGAAATGAGATTTATCAACAGCAGAGACATTTGTATTTAATACTTGATTTGAATGTTATATATTTTTCAACATTTCTTTATTAAAATTATCCTTTAGGTAATCTATGTATCCTTCAAAAGTTAATTTTTAAGTTCTAGAGTTTAGAAGTCAATTATTAATACTTCTGTAGGGGATGTGAAACTAGTGAAATAATTGGTATGCGATTGGGAGTATAGATAAGGTTAGAATAAACTATTACTGAAATCAACATTGAATTTTAAATGGGCCTCTGTAAATACTAATTGGGAGCCTGTATCAGACCTGTTTACTCTTACGATTTTGGCTTACAATGTACGATTTTGAGGTGTATACATTATATATACTGTATTTTTATTTTTTACTATTAAAGAAATATATGGAATGATTTTGTGATGATATTGTACTAGAGACTGACCGAAAGTGATTTTCTTATTTCGGGCGAAAGTTTAAAATGACTTTCGGCCGAAACCGAAAAAAGGCCAAAAGTTAAAAATGACTTTCGGTCAAAACCGAAAATAAAATATTTTGAAATTCGTTCCCGCATACATTCTGCATACATCGAAAATGATGGGGAAAAGTATAAATATTTACATTCTTTTTACATAAAAATGAGATAATCGTGAATATTGATAAATAAACATCTAATATAGGGGTCTCAAACTCGCGGTCCGCGGGCCATTTGTGACCCGCAAGACAAGGGGTCTCCAAACTACGGGCCACGCCCGCGGAGACCTTTTGTAAACGGAATAAAAATTACTCAAAAGTATGTGTATCCTGACATGATCAGATGCCGCTTACGTGAACGTTATGTTTTTTACTGAAATGAAAGGACATGTAGTGGTGGGGCTTTGCCCGCCCTGCTTCAGACATGGATGAAAACATTGTAACTCAAATATTGAAAAATGCAAGCAAGTTTCGCCAATTTTTATTTGCCATGGATGAATTGCTTGACAGCTGTTCTGCCTCTCAACTGCTTGTGTTTGTTAGGAGTGTTGTTGAAGACATGAACATAACACAAGATCTGTACACTCTTAAAGGCCTTCAGATCCAAACCCGTCTTGTTTTTGGAACAAAGTACAGGGCATCAACTTAACGCTCTTGTAGCAGTGGACGGTCTTCATGGCTGAAGCAACAGCGGAGTTCCCCATGCCATTTGCATGCGAGATCATCAAAGACCCCCAGCTGCATTTTCAGCAGCAGTTTTCTGACTTGGATTAAAAGGCAGAAGAAGTGAGACTTTTTCAAAACCCAATTGAAACAGATGTGGCCAGTTGCCCAGAGAAACTGCAGCTGGAGGTCATTAACTGAATGAAATAATATTATATAAATAATTAAAAACAACATCCATGTTTTGATTCTCTTTTTATTTGGACCTCGAGTGCAGTGATTAATTCAGAAATTTTTCGGGGGGGGGGGGGGGGGAGACCTGGGTTTTTTCGGGGGGGGGGGCCCCTTGGCTCCCCCCGGGGGGGAAAGAGNCCCCGGGGGGGCCAGACCCCCCCCCCCCACCGCCCAAGATAATGCTGAAAGAAACCCTGCTCGAGTGTGCAGTCGGCCAGCGAACTACTGTTTGATAGTTAATGCGGCCCTTGGGCTGAAAAGTTTGGAGACCCCTGCGCAAGACGATATTTTGCGGCCCGCTTCATGACAGAAAAGTTGAGTGTTAATGTGTCGGCGCGTTTCCCCCATTCTCATATCTATAACATGACTCTCCGCCAAGGTTTCAGTCGAATCTCACTGACTAGTCGAATTCTGATTTTTTTAAATGTTTCTATATATTTTTGTATGATGATTATAATGGTAAGAACCGTTTTAAACTCGGAATAAAAGTTTTTATTTTATAGATTTTTATGAGACAACATGGCAAAGAGTGCGGCCTTGTGAAAAGTTTTAAAAAGTAAGTTGGCGGGTAATGCACAACCATAATTGTGTAAATCGTAGCAATCTGATGCATTATCAAAGGATCCATATTAAAATTGCCTCTAGTGTTTACAAGTGAGGTAAATTCCGAGCTTGGTCACTTTCTAAATCTTCTTCTTATGCCTTTTTACCCAATCTGGATCTCTACATTTTTTAGACTTCAAAACACAGACAGCCACTTTTCAGCTTTTTGCAGACCCTTTCTCCTTTAATGTGCAAGATGCCCTGCGTGGGGAGCTGAATGGAAAAACAGACAAGCATGAACATTTTATTGCATTGTCCTCCACCTTCCCTGAAATTTTTAAGCTGTTCAAACGGAACATACGACTTTTTGGGAGTACCTATCTGTGTGAATAGCTCTTTTCCACTATGCACTTTAAGAAGTCAAAGTTCAGGGCCAAACTTACTGATGAGGATCTTCAAGCTATACTGAGAGTTTTAGTTGCTTCCTCAATCAGGCCAACCAAGGTTGCTCAGCTGTGTAAAAAGAAGTGCTGCCAGGTCTCTGGCAACAGTGAGTAGGTGGAAAAAAGTGAATCGGAGTTCTAGAGAACCCATAATGTTTTTATTATTATTTATAAAGGTTGAGCAAATTGTAACAGTTGTAAACACTTTTTTGTGGAAAACTTGATGCGGCCCACTCTCACTCAGACACTACCTCCTGCGGACCCCCCTGATGATTTGAGTTTGAGACCCTTGATCTAATGAATACTTTGGATTTTACCATTTTAATATAAAAGTAATTTAAATTGCTTTACAATTTTTTTAAATTAGTATGGTAGGAGAAAATTTGTCAAAAATGGGAGGTGGGGGGGGGGGCGGCAAAATTAATGCATAATGGACTCTTGAGTGCCTTTACTTTTATAATATAATTACAAACTAGAACATATACCTACAACAATTATTGTGGCTCTAATAGAGCCAATTGCCACCTAAATATATGTTATTGAGGCTATAAAAATATCACTACAATGTTTCGCTGTTTTCGTAATACTAATGCTTTGTGTTTTCGTTAATAGCTTGCAAGATATCACTGTATTAATATTCAACCTAGTAACAACACACTAGTCTTTCTGAGCTGGTGACGTAATTATTTCGCTCGGAGACTAACCTCCCTCACCCCCATTGGTGGTGAAAATTATTTTTTTAACCGGGTCTCTTAAAATTGTTGTTCTGATCATGGTTCTAAAAGATCGCTTAATTTGTTCTTAAAGGTTGCTTTGTTTGTTTTTAAAGATCGTTTAGTTTGTTCTTAAAGACCGCTTAGTTTGTTCTTAAAGATCGGTTAGTTTCTTCATAAAGATCTCCTGGTTTGTTATTAAAGATCATTTAGTTTGTTGTTAATGATCTTTTAGTTTGTTCTCAAAGTTCAGTGAGTTTGTTCTAAAAGATCGCTTAGTTTAATCTTAAAGATCGCTTAATTTGTTCTTAAAGATGGCTTAGTTTGTTGTTAAAGATCGTTTAGTTTGTTCTTAAAGATCGCTTAGTTTGTTGTTAAAGGTCATTAAGTTTTTTGTTAATGATCGCTTTATTTGTTCTTAAAGATGGGTTAGTTAGTTCATAAAAATCGCTTAGTTTGTTCTTAAAGATCGCTTAGTTTGTTAAAGATCATTCAGTTTTTTTTTAATGATCGCTTTATTTGTTCTTAAAGATAGGTTAGTTTGTTCATAAAGATTGCCTGGGTTGTTGTTAAAGATCGTTCAGATTTTTGTTAATTATCGCTTTAATTGTTCGTAAAGCTTGGTTAATTTGTTTATAAAGATCGCCTGGTTTGTTGTTAAAGATCGCTTAGTTTTTTGTTAAAGATCGTTCAGTTTTTTGTTAATGATTGCATTATTTGTTCTTAAAGATCGCTCAGTTTGTTTTAAAGATCGTTTTGTTTGTTTTTAAATGTCCCTTAGTTTGTTGTTAAATATCGTTTAGTTTGTTCTCAAAGATCGCTTAATTTGTTCCTTAAGATCGCTTTATTTGTTTTTAAAGATCGTTTAGTTTGTTCTTAAAGATCGCTTAATTTGTTCTTAAATGTCGCTTATTTTGTTGTTAAATATCGCTTTCGCTGAATATTAGAAGACTGAAAACCTCAGTCACTTTCGGCCGAAACCGAAATTAAGCCAAAAGTTAACTTTTCAGTTTCGGCCGAAGCCGAAATTCTGTCGGTCTCTATATTGTACGATTTTAAGAGTTTGATGGCAAACAGGTTTGCTGTAACCCTATTTCATGAAATACCAAGATCTTAAAAATATATTTCCATAAATTACAATTATTTAACTTTTATGGTCAAAACAATTATTGATTAAAAAAATTTTTTTTTTTTTTTTGAGGTTTCTGTTTTATCCTCAAATGTGGAGGAACATCAGATAACTTTGAAAGCAGCTAAATAGGGCACATTTTTTTCAGAATTCACTCTAAAATTTTGCCTATTTTCTTAGTTTTCGTTTTTATTATTTTTTATATTTATGTATGCTTCTTTCCCAGTAGCTATGCATTTTTTCATTGCATTGTATTCTGTTTTTCTCCAAGATTGCCTTTTTATTTTAGTATTTTTGCTTTGGTTAGCACTCATCATGAGTTATCCTGTATATGCTAGTGAGACGTGGACAGTGTACAGCAGACCTTAGACAGCTCAACCATATCCACCTACACTGCATAAGATGGCAGGACAGAGTTCCTAATACAGATATCTCCTAGAAAAAGGAAAAGCCAGAAGGGCAGGGCATGTTGCAAGAATGCCAGACAGCAGACTTCCGAAACGACTAATGTTCGATGAACATTCCAGAGGGAAAGATCAGTTGGTGGGCTAAAAAAAATCGCTTCAAGGACTGTCTAAAAGCTTCACTTAAATTAATGGACATTTACCCTGATTCATGGGAGACGCTTGCCATGGACCGATAGCTGGCATAGAAGACTCACTGTCGGAGCAAAATCCTCAGAGAATAAGCGTACCGCTCACGCCCAAACAGAGTGCACAAGAAAATCCAGAATCTACACAAATCATTCTAGAACCCAAAATAACATGTGTACCACATGTGCAAAAATTTTTGCGGCACAAATAGGACTGGCAGGCCACCTTCGTACTCAATGTGTAATATAGCCTTGGTAATCTTTGTATAAGAAGAACGAACAACAAAGCTGAGGATTGTTGTATGAAAATGAGCCTTCAAGGATTTAGAACCACAGACCTTACTAACTGTGCCAACCAATTCATATTAATAAGACATTATTTATTAATTGTGAATATTAACCTGTATTATTTATGTTGATGATTAAGGCATCTTTTCTTTTTTTTTTTTGTATTTCCATCAGCTTATGTGACGCCACTCAAAGGTGTCAGCACAGCACCCACTACTACACCCCTCAGTACGGGTCTGCTGACACCAGCTCAGCAGTTGAGCATCAAAAGAAGTGTCAACACACCTGCACACAGGATAGCCTTTCCTGCATTATCTGAAGCTGAAGAAAATGAAGTGACTCCAGATAGTGATCAATCTCTCTCGCAACGGCTTGAGAAAGGCTCAAATTATGTGCCTCCTGCCGCAACAGGAATATATTCCAAATCTGTTTCCAATGCAAGTTCTCTGGTTAAGACAAACGGTATATTAAATGCAAGTAAGTGTGCTTTGTCAAGCCAGAAACGTGCATTTACTCCAAACCAAGTGCCAAATGAAAGTGTGTCCTGCTCCACTGTCAAACTTACATGTGACAGAACCAACAGCATGGTCAATCCCCTGAGAAATGACATTACTAACAATAATCAGCAGTCTCTAGGCAATCAACATTATTCCACAACAGCCCATTACCGTAAAGAGTTATTTCCAACATCCAGGGCTGCAAATATACTCAACACCCCATCACCCAACCGTAAACATTTATTGAGCAGGACACCCATCACAGGATCTGCCGCCAGAGTACCTGTCAAAAACTCTCAAACTCCCATAGCTACGGGAATAAAAGCTCCACCGATGCGAACACCGGTACTGTCATCCTGTCTCAAAAACAGAGTAAGTTCATCCTTTCAGAAGCTGATTTCTTTCTGCGGAGCTTAGATTCAAATTAGAATGGAATTACATGGAAATTATCCCTGATCTGTTTTGTTTTGCTAATTGTAATTTTAACTAAAATATATGTGTAATAATAACCATATTGGTTTTTTTTTACATGTGCTGTTTTAAAAAAAAAAATTTTTTTTATCTAATACGATATTTACTTGTAAGTATAAGTAATGTTTACTTCATAAGTATGTTTAAAAATTTTCCTCTAGGATGCCAGTAGGACAGAAATGGTAACAGTTTCAGCTACAAAGGTAGGACACTTACTCTTATCTAGTGTTTATTCTTTGTCCAGGATTTAATTCACTACTTGATTTTTATAGCTGGATTACATGGCCCTGGCCCCTGTATTGAGTATTTTAAAATAAAAGTCTGGAATGCTCTTCGGTGATTTCACTTTTTTAAAATCTTTAGTATGTGAAAATAGCTGGTGTGTTTTTTTGTTGTTTTTTTCTCTTAAACTTTTAAGGATTGTTTTTTTCTTAAATGAAATCTAATACACAAATGCTCTTCATGAACAATGAAAATGTTTATTCAACATGTATTCAACACTTCTATGTACCGTATGTCAACGTCTTTAAAAATAAACAAATTTACATATAAATTAGTCAAATTATTATCATTTATTTTCTTTTACGGCAGACATTGAGATGGGCCGATTGTCACAGACTGTCCCAAAATTCATGATGTTAAAGGAAATCCAACTATTATATGTTACATGAACAATTTATTGTAAAAGGTCGGAGCGAGTCGAGGTATCTTATCGAGCTGGTCCAAGTTATCAAACCGACTGTTTTAAGAAATAATCTGAGGAATTCTTAAAAAAATAAAAGCCATTTTTTCTAATTATATTTCATGAAGCCTTTTCTAACTCTGAATGTCATTTCAATATTCCACTCTTGGTTTAATTTGAGAATGATTTCAGAACTTACAAAGTTCCCATTATTCCTGTCATATTTATTATAAATACATTTATTTACATAAAAAATGTTAAAATTAACTCTTATAAGTGAAGAGTGATTAAAAAAGGCCCCTTGTTTTTTTTGTCAACAACGTTTTATATCTTCACCATGAATTGAGGGCTACAAGACACCCACGAGCTGCCAAACTAAAGTGTAGAATCATTTTCAAAGAGGGCCATAGACATTGTTGCAGCAATTAATTGCATGAGAGCTATACATCTGGAGGAATTAACTGTTTTACTGTGTGAGATTAGATAAATATTGTTGAATTCTATTGTAAGACTCAAGACTTTTAGAAAAGCTGATGAAATTTAGATGATGCTTCTGGTTTTTAAAATATGCCTGCTTTTAATTTAGCCTTAAAATATTTGATGACTTTTGTGTATCATTAAATCCTTGTAAATATTTTTATGTGGAGGAGAGCTCTTCAATAGTCTTTGTTTTTTTACACGTCTAGTTTCATATTTTTAATATGAAACTAATGAAAGCAATACTTTTCTATTAAATCTATTACAAAAAATTGTGTTGTTTTTTTTTTAAATTTAAAAACACTGTTTTAAAATCAATTGCTGCATACAACTCTTAGATGGGGTCATTATGTCTCAACTAAATGCGTTAATAAGAAACTCGTATTTTTTTGTTTTATTTGTTGTTGTTGCAAATGCTTAACTCTAAGAGGTGATGGAGCAGTTTTGCTGTATTCGCCCCAGGACAGCATTCAGTCAAGCTGCGCCACTGCTCATCGGAGCGCTCGTCTATCAATTATCAAAATCCTTCTTTTGATGATTACCTCCATCATCATCAGTGGTGTAACATACCCATGTAGTATGGCCTGTCCTGCTCCACCACATCCTTCCACTCGGAACGATCAATGGCTTTCCGCCTCCTTGTGCGGACACCAAAAAACAACAACTGATGTAAGTCCCTCTTTAAATGGTCAGTCAATCCGTCTTGGTCGACCGGTGAGCTGTCTGCCCCTAGGTTGATTTTTTTATTTATCAATTGGTCACTCGGGCGGGCCAGCGCTCCAGCTCTGTGTAAACTCGGACCATTCCGGGGTCGCCGTCCGTAAATCATTTCTTTGTCCAGGCGTAGGTCGAAATCCAGAAATATTTGTGACTTAACATTGGATTTGTTATGTGACAGGGTCGTAACATTGGATTTGTTATGTGACAGGGTCGTCAGCACTGCACACAACCATCAGGGTGGTGCCCCTTGCATTTACAGCTGTCCTTTGTTTTTGGGTCAGGTCCCTAGCCTATGTGGATCACTCCACTTCCTACATGGTAGTCTGTTCTTATTTTGGTCAACCGAGGTATCCGCCATATCTGGTGGGCTTTCACCTATTCGTCATATCTGGTGGGCTTTCCCCTACCCGCCACCCGAGGCTCGATGGAAGATTACCTTCTACGATAAAGTTGACGACTTGTGTTGTTTCCCCTGCCCTTAATATTTTTCTTTTCTCCCCTTAATTCAAAACCTTGATGTGAGCAAAATGTCCATCAGTAAGTCCAACTATCAGAGCCGTCGTGTGCAACCCAAATGTCCATCAGTAAGTCCAACTATCAGAGCCGTCTTGTGCAACCAAAATGTCCATCAGTAAGTCCAACAATCAGAGCCGTCTTGTGCAACCCCTGAGCTGAAAAAAAGGGGGGGGGGGG